TTGGTTTAAAACTAGTTGGAAAACTAGTGAAGTGTAGCTAATGCCACTGGAGGGGTGCAGTGAGGCTGCTGGGCCTCTGAGTGTTTCCTTAATGGCTCAGTGAAAGGCATGACCTCTGCCACTGGGGTGGAGGGAAGCTGTGAGTGCAGCAGAGGACACATAATGTGGAAGTAAATGCTGTATAATCCTGCAGAGGCACCCGGGCAGGAGCACCAGGATGGGAGAGAGCAGTGCCTGGCTGAGGGCTCTGAGCATCAATCACTGAGCCAGCCTGGTGTTACCTGGAGCTGGGGGTCTGGGGTGGCCCTAACCCCTGTCACTAATCCCTGACCAGTGGAGGCCTCTGCTTTGCCTGAGACAGGCTGGGAGCAAGCAGGGTTGGCTGAAGGTGTGGAAGGAACTGTGTGAGCTCAGCCTGCAGGGATGGCAGTGCAAACAGTGAGGTATGTAAGGAGGGATGGCAAGGAAGGGGATAACCTGCAGTGCCAGCTGTGGGTGACAGCAGGAGCCTGAAGGGGAGGAAATCCAGGTTAAAATGAGCCTTGAATCTCCCAGAGCAAGCCTACTGAAAGAGTGTGGGAATTCCAGAGAGGTTTTCTGGGAGCAACTCCTGTGCCCTGTGCTGGGATGGAAGCTGCAGAGAACAGAAGGGGCCTCGAGGCTGTGGGTTTAGGAGCTTGGGTTTGTCTTGGCTGGCACTTCAAGCTGCGTTGCTCTGCTGCTGGTTTAGCTCCTCTGCACGCTGGTGAGCACAGATACACAGTGCTAGAGCAGTGCCCTACCTGGCCGGCCAGGTGTTGTGCAGGATTCCCCGCGAGCAGGAGGGCTGTGCAGCACTGACGGTCCACGGGGTGGCCAAGTGAGCAGCGGGATAGAGCCGATCCCTCTGCTACCGCGTGTCCTGATACGCTCTGGCAGCTTGTTCCTGTTGAGAGCAGTCCTCGCTCCTTGCTGACAAACAAGTCGGGGGAGAAACGAACAGTCTGTTCTGCTCAGGCATTTTTCTCGTGGCGGAAACTCCCAACAGGCTGCTTGCTTGGGAAGCCACTGAAGTCCTGTTTGTCACCACGGGTGTGCTCCTGTGCTCCGTTTGTGGAAGGTAAATCTCACGAGAAGGAGGTTGCTGCTGAGCAGATAAGCTGTGGATGGTGGGGCGTGGGTGTTTGACTTCCCCTCTCCTCTGAAGAGCTGTTTCTCTTGTGCCAGTGCTTGTTGCTGCTCTCAGCAGCCAGGGACATCCCAACAGCTGAGTGTCACAACCTCCCTCTGGTCTTTGCCCTGCAATCCGTTCCTGGTCGTGGGGCTGGTGGGATTTGCAAAGCTGTGCATCCAAAGGGTCTCTCTCCTCAGAGTCCATCCCAGCGCTGATCCCCCACCGCATCACCAGACATGCCAACTGCATCTTCATCACCTCCCCTCAGCCCCTCTGCTTGGTAAGAATAGCTCTTGAAATGCCTGCTAGTGTTTAATGTGGTCTGAGTATCAGATGGAATGACATCACAGAGGTGACCCAGTGCTGGTCTACAGCCTGGTCCCAAACCTGCTGTGAGGGGCTTGAGGTCAGTTCATGCTCAGCTGCCTGCCTACAGGGTGGGGCAAATCCTGGGAGATGTTGCTTCTGGGCCCATGTCTTGTGCCTGCTCAAGTGGCCTGTGCTGCTGAAGAACCATCCCAGTTTCTTATATTAGCCCTGAAAGTCGTATTTTCTGCTCTTTCAGTCTGGATTTGGCAGTGCAGGATCAGTGCTGCAGAAACACAGCTGGCTGTGCTTCCAGCTCCAACCCAGCTGCCCTGGGCTGACGTAGGGCCACCTGTGTGTGCCAGCTTATTTTTTTTTCCATTTTCAGAGGTTGTTATGGATGATACTGTTAGGGAAGAGGAGGAACTGAGTTGGTTTCAGGAGAGCTTTGTTGAAAACCACGTGAAACTTTGTTGGTCAAAAAAAAAAACCTTCTTGGGTGGCTTACCTCCCCAGCCTGTGAAAATCTCACTATTTACAAACAGGAGTTTGTGATGGGTTTTTTTTGCTGCATAACACCCAAGCCTGTCATGGTCAGGTCAGAAATAGCCTGACTGGATTATAGATGGAGCCCTGCTAGGAAGGGTCAGTGGAGTTGGTCCTCCTTGGAGCTCCAGTGGGGGACCCTCCCCTGGGGTCAGGACATCACCCAAGGAAACTTTCTGAGACTGAGAGCCCTTGCCTTGTTGTATTGTTGTATGATTGCACATTCTACATTATTCTTCCTAAAACCTTGTGAATTTTTGAGTTAGCTGGGTAGTACCAATTCCACCTGACACCATGAATCTGTATTCAAATGTTGGTAGAGCTTTGACAGGTTTAAAAAAAAAATCTTGGTTTAATATATTATTTGTCTGCATTTTGTAAGCCTCTGGGACAGATGGGAGTATTGGTCTTGGGCTGACCCTCCTGCCATCCCTGGGCTGAGCTGCTGGGTGAGTCCTGGAGCCCATCCTGCTGACAGAGCAATGTGGGGCCAGGGTACCTGGAAGGCTCTCTCAGGAAGCAGCTGCAGGGTAGCACCAAATGTTTGGGTCACAAACAATGCAGCACAAAGATTAATGGCACTGTGATGTACCTCTGCCCTGGACAGTGTGGAGGGAAAAACAACCTCAGTTACAGGACAGTCCCCAGCAAGGTGGTGAGTCCATGTGTGCATGCACAGCACCCAGATACACCCTTACACAGCAAATATTTATCAAAACATCTTCCAGCATCCCCTTTGAACATACTGCACAGCAGCTTGGGTGTTTACCCTTTCTTTGGTGTTTAAAGCCTGTCCTGTCTCCTGCTAGCCAAAATTAACCTTTCCTTAGGCTTTAAAATCTGACCTGACTCCTCCTAGCCTGACCTTTCACTGGGAGGAGGGTGGGCTGTGGAGTCCCTGCTGCCTTGGCCTCTGCCTGGTCACTCCAGGACAAGGATGCTCACAGCATCTCTGTGTTCCACATGCTTTTGCTATTGTAGGCAGAAAGTCTCCAGCCTTCCTGTTCCCACTGGAGGTCAATGCCCGGCAGTTCCCTGTCCTCCTTTTCTCTCAGCTCTGGTTCTCTGTTGACAGCAGACTCTGCAGCAGGGATGGGGTGGGGGAGCTGGCCTGTCAGGGGGCTGTAAGTGCACTGGGTCTACCATTTGGGTCTGGAGTCTTGAACTTTCTGCCTTTACCTACCCTGGGACACTGGTGACAAATACCCTTGGATGGAAATGCCCATTTTCCCTTTTTTTCCATGCTGGTATGAACTGCCCTGGGCAGAGAGCTGGCCCTGGCCTCCTGGGTCCTGCTCTGCTTTCACTTACAGTGACCAACACCAGCCTCAGTGGGGCTGCTTCCCTGCTGCAGCATCTCCTCTGGAGCTGCTCCAGTGAAACTTTAACTCTGTGCAACGCTCCTGAGCTTGTGCCCTACCATAAATAGGATTGTGCCTTTACTGAAAGCTTTGCTGAGGATGCAGGCACTTGTGCTCGTGGGATACCCAGCACAGCAGCATCTCTGCCAGTTTGTCACAGAATCCCAGAATGGGATTCTTGTTCCAACCCTCTTCTGTGGGCAGGGACACCTTCTACTATCCCAGGTTGCTCCAAGCACCATCCCACCTGTGCTGGACCACTTCCAGGGGTGGGGCATCCACAACTTCTCTGTGTCAGTGAAGTCACTGCCACAGCCAACCTGTGCCGGTGCCTCATCACCCTCTGAGTAAAGAATTTCCTCCTAACACCTAATTTAAATCTCTTTTAGTTTAAAAACACTCCCCCCTTGCCCTATCACTATCTGCCTGTATAAAAATTAGTTCTCCCTCTTTTTGATAAGCCCCCTTTAGGTACTGGAAGGGGCTCTAAGGTCTCCCCAGAGCCTGTTCTTCTCCGAGCTGACCAACCCCAGCTCCCTCAGCGTGTCAAATGCGGCGGGTCCTTGGAGGAGGAGGAGGGAGGATGCAGATGCTCGGCTTCCCTCGGCAGGTCAGTGACCGCGAGTGCCTCCCGCAGGGTACCCGAGGCCATTCGCCTTCTCAACTCAGGAAGAAAACAGCGGGGCAGGGTGGGGGCTGCCGGACAGAGGGGTCCCCAGAGGAAACGCCCGGCACAGGGAGGGGGATGAGGCATCTGCCAGGGAGAGGAGGGAGGCTGGCACCTCGCCTTGCTCGGGGGGTTGAGTGTGCCCCTGCAGCGTTGATCTCTCCTTCTCCATCAGTCTTTGCTGGCAAAATGGTTGATGGGAGCTGCTGCGAGCCTCCTTGCTGAAATAACCCTTCTCTGTTTCGTGTTGGAGCTCGTTTTGGGAATGGGATGGGCCCCAGCACCACAACAGAGGTGCAGGGGCGGACAGTGGCATGAAGGCCAGGTATGCACGAGGAGTTGATGTGAACTTGGGTCTCTGAAGTCCACAAATAGCAGCTGAGAGTCTGGATACATGAAAAGCTCCAGCTTAGCGGGTTCTTCCCCATATAGAAGGTGGCAAACCAAAGATCACCCACAATGCCAGCCAAGAGGCAGAGAACATCACAGTGCTCTGGTTCATGGAGTTTTCCATGGGAAATGTGGGAGGTGTGGGTTCACCCAGTGGTAGCAGGAAGCACCCCCTTCCCAGGAGCATGCCTCCACTTCCCCACAATATATCTGAAACCAGTGGAAGGGGAAGCAGTTATTGTTGGAGGTACATTTTGAACGGGGCTTTGCTGGGAAATTACTGCAGGAATGCAAAATATGGAATATTTCTGCATGAAGAGAAAATGATGAACTGGCTGGAGGCAGCCTGTGAGGCTGCTCCCTTGGCTTTACTCTCTCCCACTCTCCATCCCCCTCCAGCTCTCTCCACCCCCCTGGGTGCATCCATGTCCTGAGTCAGAGCAATCTTGGCAGGGGCTCAAAGCCCTGCAGCCCAAGTGCCTGCTGAGGGAGGAAGGCAGCCTGCAACTTGAAGAGCCTTAAGGAAACTATAGGAAGATTAGGAAATGTGTGATGGCCCCTGATAAGTGGAGGAAGCAGGTCATGTCCTGTGGGCATGTCGGGTGGGCTCTGCTGGAGGTATGAAAGCAGCCTTTGCCACGGCCGAGAATCAGTCGGTCCCATCAGCGCTCTCCACTCGGGCTGAAGATGAGCTGGGCTGGCAGGATGATCCTGGGGATCTTCAGGATCTTGCTGGTGCTTGTCCATGCATCAGCAGCCTGTGACTTCGGGCCCTTCCCTTACAGAGCCACCGGGATCGTCTGCAGGATGACCAAGCCCGCGGCATTGCTGTGTAAGTGCCTGCTGTGTGGGGCTGTGCTTGCTCCACCTCTGCCAGAAGTTAGGGACAGATCAGCCAAATAAGGGTTTTTTTTTTTGCTTCCCTGGGTCTTGTGTAAACAATTTATCTGGTAAGATGTATTAATACACCTGCCTGGGAGCACAGGTTAAAGCATGGGCACCTGAGCTGAATAGGCACAGCTTCTCAAAGGAGCTTGAGAATGGTCCCCAGCCCTTCTCAGCCCAACGTTTTAGTGTTGTTCTTTGCTGAGGGCTGGCATGATGGAAAAGCTGGGGAAAATGTGTGTTTGATTTTGCTCTTTGTTGCAATCTCATCTCTTGGGGTCAGTGTGCATGAGCAGGTTCTCTGCTGCTGTGAGTTTATTTGCAAGGATTTGGGGGCTTTATGGGTGGGGGAAGGATAATTAGTTCTTCTGTGAAGGGTGGGAACAGCTCTGTCCCATCCCCTCTGACAGGAGTACATGCAGAGAAGGATGCTGGGCCAAACTAAGAGAAGGTATTTCTGGAAGGTAAAACATCCTATACAAGCATGTGCCCGAGGCTGGAATGGGCTGGATAACATTAGGAAAACGGGCATGGAAACATGAGTATCACAAATTTTCCTCTGGAGACCCAAGAGCTGACTGCAATACAAACAAGCAGCAACAGAACAAAGAATTGGGGTAAAGTCAACAGCTTGTGTGGTGTAAGGATGAGCCCAGCCTCGACCTTTCAGAAATCTGCTCCTGAGGCGTGTGAAAACTGGGCATGATTCCCTGCAAACAGGCCTGCTGGTGACTGTTGAACCACACACGCTGTTGTCCCTTGCTGCCATCAGCTGTTAAAGTTAGGGATTTTTTTATTTTACTCTGAAACGACTTCCAGTGCTTCCTTAGTCTAAGGGAAGCACCTCGGATAAAACCCTTCTGTAGCGCTTTAATCCAGGGCGTGGATCCGACTTTGCGGCCAGGAGAGGTTGCAGTTTGGCATCTTTACCCTTTTCTTCCACCAACAGTGAACCAGGAAACAGCACAGGTCATCCAAGCAGCCTTCAGAAACGCCAAATTCCCAAACATCACCGGGGAAAGGTCCGTGCGTCTCCTCGGCAAGGTGGCTTACGAGCTGACCAAGTGAGTGTCTCTGTGCCAGGGGAGATGTGGGCTGAGGGAGGGGAGCAGAAACTGGCCTTGGAGGGAGCTTTGATCCAGCAGTTCCTGGTAGCACGTAGAGCACATCTCTGTCAATGGGCAGGGGGAGCAGTGCCCCTGTGGGCTGGGGCGCCACTGACAATAGATGGTGTCCAAGGCACAGTGAGCAGCACAGGGAACACATCCGGGGCTGCCAGAGCCACCCCTGTCAGCAGGATGACACTTGGCTGTGCTTTGTGACAAACCAGGCTGGGTGTTGCTGTGTTACTCGCTTTCATTTGGGGGTGAAAAATGTAGAGGTGCATTTGCAGGACAGATTTCCTGCCGTGACGGCGGCTGCACCAAGCACGGTTGTGTCACTCTGTGTTTCCTGCTTAAAGCATTCCCCCACCTCCAAACATCACCAGGGAGGTGCAGTGCACCGAGGCTGAGCAAAAGCACCACTCCCCTTGTGTGCCTAGCCCTTGGGATTTGTAAAATCCCCCGAGCCTGGCATTGGCACAGGTCCCTTGGAGCCCCCACGTCCTCAGGAGCAAACCTGTCTCACCCAGGCACAGAAAACAGCCCTGGTTTGTGGACAAACTGTGTTTCTGTTGTTTCCAGCATCCAGGTCAATGGCTTGTCCATAGAGAAGAGCGACGTGGAGCTTAAGGAAAATAACGCCATTTACATTGCCATTAAAAACGTGACGGCCTCCTTCAAAGGGACCCTGACCTACGGCTACGCTGGGGCCTGGTTGTAAGTACCCAGGGCTGGCTGCTGCTGACATCACAGCCCCAGCTCCTGCTGCTGCCCACAGGTAGGTGTGGAGGGGCAGCATTTGTTGGGCTCTCTGGCAGTGGCAGCGCTGCTCACTGCCCACGTGAGACAGGAGTTTATACACTAGCAGTGCTGCTTAACCCCATCACTGCTCTGCCCCATCTGGCTTTCTGTCCTCACTGTGCCTGAGGAGGTAAGATGGCCAAAGCTTACGAGCTGACTTCTTCCCTCCCTTCCTTGCTCTATGAAGTCTGAGTGGATAAAAAAGGGGTTTAATGCTCCTAAGTGCCACTAAAAGAGCAGTTTGCAATCATTTAAAGCCAGAGTAGAGTATCTTACATAAGCTGCAGCGTGTGAGGGGGTTTGCCCACTGCAGTGCAAGGACTGATGTGAGTGATGTTATAAAACCCACCTTGTGGCTGTCATGGGGTCAGGGAGAAGCTGCTCCCAGCACAGTTTGCTGAATTCCCTCTCTTCTTGCCGTTCCAGTTTGCGGCTGTTTCACTCAGTTGACTTTGAGATCGAGTCTTCCATTGACCTCCAGCTGGACATCAAACTGAGTAAGTGGCAGCTGGGGATCGCTGCCTGCAGGGGTTTTTTGTGGGTGTGGGAGTGGGTGGTGGGCAGCAAGCCCGGCTGGCCCTCTGTGGGGATTGGATGGCACGTGGAGGCTGGGAGCGGGTCCTGAACCCTGAGCACACACAGGGTGGGACAAAACGTGGCCCTCAAAGACCTCGTAGTTTTAACAGCTTAAGAGGAGGAAGCTGGTATAAATCCCTTCAGCAAAGTCATGCTGATTTACACCAGCAGCAAGTGAAGAACAGTCTGGCCTTCTGGACTTTCTTCAGGATGGGCTTTTCACATCCTGTGGTCCTGTGGTTCAGGATGACTTGAAAAAAAAACATGGAAATGCTTCAAAAAAGTGAGCTTACAGAGGGCTTTGGTGCAGGAAGCTTGAACATCCTTACAACCCACTTTTTCCTCTGTCTCCAGGCCAAGGTGTGCTCTGAGAAACAAAGCCTCTTCCTCAGGAATGACAGCAGACTTAGACTAGGAAAGGACAGAGGCAGTGACAGTATATTACAATTTCCAAACTCTTTGCAGTATTCCCTGCCCGCTCTGCTTTGTGGGTTGCTCATATTGCCCTGGGTGATGTTCAGGGACAGCCAAGTCCCTGATGACAGGAGCTAGGGAAGCTGGCAGGGATCAAATGGAGCATGAAAAAGGGTGCCTGGTAGAACAACTCAGCTGGAGCTGTGGGCAGAAACCCTCCATCCAGGTGCAAGGGAGCCCCATCTACCCTGACTTTGCAGCTTCTTGAATCTTTTGGAAACACGCTCCGAGAGGGGATGTGGGGAGCTCTGGCTGCCCCTCTGCAGTGATGCCCTGCTGCAGGCCTGCAGTGTCTGCAAATGCACTCATCCTCTCATCTCACTAACAAATTAGCTATTTTTTTTTCTCTTTTTCTTTCATCCCATGCAGTGTGCCAGGAGGAGAAGCTGGTTGCCGACGCCTCAGACTGCTACCTGACCTTCCACAAACTCACCCTTCACCTCCAAGGAGACAAAGAGTGAGTCAGTCCCCCTTCAAAATCGAGCTTTATTGCCCCACTGCTGGTCCCCAAATCTCACCCACCACAGGGACCGTTGCTGGTCCTTGACTGTGCTCCCTGTCTTACACAGACCAGGCTGGCTGAAGCAGCTCTTCACGGATTTCATCTCCTTCACTCTGAAGCTTGTTCTCAAGAGGGAGGTAAGGACAGAGGAAAGCTCTGTGTAGCTTTGTAAGCCACACACCTCTCTGCTCACGTGTGCCCACAAGATAGCAGCAGTAGAACATTAGTACTTGTGAAAAATAAGATTAATAACTTGAACCCACAAAAAAAAGAAAAAAAAAGGCAGCTTGGACAAAGTGAGAGGTGTTGCTGACTCTGGTGCTGCTGGGCTGTGACCAACAGCCCCCAGATCTCACCGAGAAGCCCAGCTCTGCTCTACAGTCCAAAATCCTACCCCTTGCCTTCAGTTTTTTCCCTCTCTTCCTCTTGTAGGTGTGCAAAGAAATCAATTCTCTTGCTCAGATGCTGGCAAATTTTGTACTTGATTTAGCAGGTAAACATGCTTCGTCTTTTCTGCTTTCTTTTATGTGCAACTTTTAACATTTGAGCCCCAGCAGGGCAGTAGCCTCATCCACCAAAAACACCCTTCAAAAACGTGCATGAGATCCCAAGCCCTCAGACAACAGTAAAGTAAACCTTAGCACTGTTACATTTTGGATTTTCTGAATCAGGTTGGTTTTTGAGGGTGATTGCACAGATTGAAAAACACAGTTCATAAGGAATTTCTCCTTCAGTATGCACTGCCCAGCTGTGCAGGACAGCTGCAGGACTGATGCTAGCTGGAACAGCAGCATGCACTGGAGTATTGGGCCTGAGATAATACAGCATTTGGATCTGTCTGTTGAAGATTTTCCCAGTCCCAAATATCAGGGAAAAGGAGCAGAATGTAAAACTGAGAGTAATTATCCCTATTTCCAATGTTGAAATTCTGTCAGTAAGCTGTAGCAGGATCAGCACTAGCACCCAGAAGAGTGGGAACCCCTGTCCCATCCCCATGCCCTTTTATAGCTCCCAGTCACCTCTGCACCAAGTCCTAAAAGTGACTGTCTCAAGCTCTGCTCGAGGTTGTGTTTCTGGCGCGAGGTTTTTGCGTTTCCTTCCTGCAGGGAATTTTGTCCGGGATAAGGATATCATGGTTGATCTCTCCCTGGCAGCAGGCTCCCTGATACAAACAGGTTATGTCGAATCACATCACAAGGTAAAGTCCCCCAGGCTGCTCAAAGACCAGTGTCTTCTGGTGGTGGTGAGTGCTGGAGGGCTGGGAGGGGCTGGTTTGCTGACACACCGAGCTGCAGCGGGGGCTGATGTCAGCCTGCTCTGTGTCCAGCCAGCCAGGCCTTTGCCTTGCAATGGAAATGCAGGTGTTGATATTTTGTTCTGTCTCCCTGTGGCCAACATGCTTGTTTTCCTCCAAAGGGCCTTGTGCTGTTCAAGAACTACTCCAGCACCCTGAGTGACTCTGTGTTCTCCCCGTCGCTGCTGACCGAGTCCCGAATGCTCTACTTCTGGCTGTCCGAGCATACCCTCAGCTCTCTGGCCTCTGCAGCTTTCCTGGATGGGAGGCTGGTACTGACCATCAGAGGGGAGAAGTTGCAGGTGATTTCAGGGATGGTTCCTTCCTTGACTCATGTTTTTGGGAGAGAGTAAAAAAATTCTCTCAATACTGTGTATTGGTGAGAGCTGGTTTCTGCAGAAGATAGAAACCTATTGTCAGTCACTATGTGTGATCCTGAAATTGGTGCCCTTTTATCAAGAGTGTTGTCTCAGGCAGTGCTGCCCCTTGGAGTGATAACACCAGCTGACAGAAAACTTGTCAGCTGAATTGTAAAGGGACGTGATTTTCTGGGGAAGCACCGAGGTGGAAAAGGGGTGAGCTCAAAGGGGGGCTCAGCCATGCCCCTGAGCTGAGCACAGGCCACGCCTCAGTGCCCTGTCCCATCCAGCCTGGATCAGGGCTAACCATAACCCTGTGGTTTGGTTTTCCACAACCTGTTTCTGGTTCGTTTCTGCAGGCACTGTTTGAGATGGAGGACACGGAAGTACAGCGGAAGGCGGTGCAGATGGTAACTTCTGGTCCTATTCTGAGCATTTTATGTCAAATAAGGAGTTTTCAAATGGATTCTGTTGCGTCTGTAACATCTTGGGTCCTTCCCTTGACTACTTGAGTCTTGGGTGGGCCTGATGGGGAAAATCAGGGACTGATGGAGAAGCTGTTGTGCTTTGCAAGGAGGATTTCTCCACCCTCCGTGATGGCACAGCTTCCCTGAAACCTGGCTGGGTTATTGAGCTTGTGTGAACAGGAGGAGGAACTGGGCACTACAGAAGGGATGCAGCTGTGTGGCAGGTTGGCATGAAACTGGTATGGGTAAAGTCTGACTCATCTGCTGCTCCTTGACCAGATTTTTCAAGGCACCTCCTATAACGACTCTGTGGCCAAGGTGTGGAGTCTCGCCCATCCTCAGATTTCTCTTCAGCCTGAAGGGACAGTGGTGAAGTCCTTGGTGGCAGCAGAGGTCAGCATCCTTCCTGCAGGAGGAGAGCCCCTGGTGGTTCTGTACATGGAGAAGGTCAGTTCTTGCACCTCCTGGGTGTGAAGACCTCGGGACAGGCTCTGTCCCAAATCTGGGCCACTCCTGGTGTGCAGGGAGCCCTTTGGGAAGGCTGGGTGGCTGAACCTCAGGAGGTGGAGAAGGTCATAGCAGTTCCTTTTAACATTCCCATTCCTTCCCTTGACATTTGAGGCTGGGAATGATGATAGTGACTGTGTTATTAGCTCAATGCCTCCTCTATCAGGCCAGCCCAACACTGATGTGCAAGGTGGCAAAAGCAGCATAAGGCACCCATTGATCTGGATCAGACACAGAGAAACTCCTGCAGCTGAGGTGTTGTATTTATGTATTTATTTTGAAATCTCCTCATTCCCAAATTCTAGCTGTGGCCTCCAGTTAGAGGATAGTTGTCTCTGAAATGAAGATGCACCTCTGAAATGTGTGAAGCTCAAAATATAAACTTTTCCTCTATGTGTGCCTGTGTGAAAGTTCTTGCTTATGCTTTTTTACCCCCAACTGAAGCTTTTTTACTGAATCTAAGGAACCAGAAAAAAGAAATGCCAGAAGCTGTCCTGTAATTGAGAATAATTCCCTTCCTGTGGGATACTCAGCAAGTATCTCACATGAGCAGGGTGTTATAGGAAAACACACACGGCTGTTTCTTGCACTCCAAGTGATACCTTGAAATAAATTTCAAAGATTTGAAATTATGGAATTGCAGAAGCACTGAACTAGAGGTAGTTCATAAAATCACGGCTGCCAGGATGTGATCTGCTCCCGGGACTGCCAGAATCCAGGTTGTGAGCTGCAACTGCATCACAGATTCTCCTTCTAAATTAATGTTTGCATATAGGCAGCAGCAAGAAAATGAACCTAAATGACCAGAAATCAGAGATTGTTTAATTTTTAACTTGGTTTACATTTGGTGGCTGCCTCAGAGCCTGAAGGATGTTGAAATCTGGCTCCTAGAAAGCAAACCAAAAATGTCCAAATGCGTCTCCCTGCTGCAAGGCAAGATGAGCTGTGCCTCAACCCTGCTGTTGTTCTTTCTGCAGGAGATCACAGTCACTATCCAGGCTGCCTATGCGGAGAGGAAACTCATTTTGCAGCCTTTGGACTCCAGGTCAGTACTGTGGTCTCTCAAGGGTTTTGTTGCCTCTTTTGGCCTGTGCTTAAGAGCAGCACAAAAAGAGGGTCTCTGCAGCCCTTAGTGACTTTCCCCCACCCTTTTTTTTTTTCCTTTCAGCGTAGAGTTTAAAGTCTTTAAATGCACAGCTGATCCAAGTGGGGTAAGTCCTTAAAAAAAAAGTATTCTCTATGCCATTTGAGGCTAAATGATGTCTTCAAAGCATTTCTTTGTATGAATTTTCTGGCTTTCAGGATGACCCATCCGTACAGGACTTCCTGCAGAACATGATCTCGGTTGTTGGGATCCCAGAAGTAACTTCAAGTGAGTTTTCCCTTTGCGGAAGCGCCAACCTACTCTGTAAATTGCCTAACAACAGATCCCCTAAACCTGAAAAAAACACATTAGTAACCCAAAGAGCCCCGGGGAGGGGGAACCACATCACTGTTTTGAATTTCTCCTGGATTCTCCTGGGGAAGGAGGAACCTTTTGTAAATGTCTGGGAGAAAGGAAAAGTGAGTTTTCCGTTAGACCGAAGGTCGTGGGGTGTTGAGGAGCAATTAGGTTTTGGCAACAGGCAGACAGGGAGGCAGCACGTGGGGAGCAGCAAGGTGGGAGGGCCATACCTGTAACTGGATGGGTTTGCTGATTCCCCAGGCATTGGATCAGGTCTGACTTCACTGATGAACAGCAAAGGACTCAAACTCTTTGATATCATAAATCCCGAGATCATCACAAGACAGGTAAGCAGAGCTCAGAGATACCTGGCTCTCAAAGCCCTCCTGGGAGTGTGGCATAAACCAACATAACATTTTTTCTGTTTTCTCCCCTCTCTTTTCAGGGATACGTAATTGTACAGCTTGACTTTGACTTCCCGCATCATTTGCTTCTTGATTTTCTTCAAAAAAGTTTATAGAGCTGATCCCTTCATGGAGAGGCATAGGAGCTTGTGTACAAACAGCAAGATTTGTGTGTGAACCAATTAAAAGATGAGCTGATTGAAATCAGCTTCAGTAGAATTTTATTTCCTTTTTTCCTGAGAAAACGCTCCCGGTTCTGTGTCATTGTGCTTCTACAGAGCTTTTCCTCTGCAAAGATCTCAAAGTCTGCACCTTGATTGATGCATGTTGCTTTTTTCAGGATCTTTAAAGAAATAATGTGCTTAGGAGTAAGGGCTGGACTCTGGAAGTGCATGGGCTCTGGGTTAGCACTCGGGAGGCAGCAGAAATGGGGTTTCTTTTGGCACCTCTGCTGTTAGTTTTGGAAATGTAGCACTTCTTGCACTGATCCTGGGTTTCCTTTCTGCCAAGAACCTCCTGATGTTGACAGACCCCAGCAGCTCAAATGGTATTACCAAACTCAGAACTGGTAATGCTAAAAGACCTGGGTATGGCTGAAAAACAAGTAAATGGGATATGAACTTACAGTGCAGTATTTCAATGGAGAGATTTTGTTCCCAGGGCACTTTCCTTAAAGAAAGTGACTCTGTGTAGAGTTCCAGGCAAATTTTTAATGCCAGTGTTGTTGCAACAGTGACAGCAAACTTGGAATAAACAATAACAATTATAAGGAAGCCAAAGAGATTGTAACAGAAAGTTTAAGTGTCTAGTCAGGCAGCAGGTCCCACTTCCTTCCTTCTGCAGTGCAATAATTTATCTGAAGTGGCTCAGTTATTTTCCTGTACCAGTTCATTCTTCTGATCTCTTTCCTTTCTTCTCAATCGAATGAGATCTCAGGCAGCAAAGCCAAGATTGTAATAGTGGTCACCTTGTCAAAGGCAGGGGATGATGTTTTCTTCCCACACAGAGCAATATTAAAGTTGGGGTTCCCACAAAGAGCCCTGAGGTGCTGGTAGCAGGATGGGCTCAGTCCCCTGAGCTCCCTGGGCATGGTGGTTGCTCCCTCCACATTGCCATGGATGTCCTCCCTGGGATATGAGCCAGGTCCCTCTGACCTGACTCTCTCTCACCACCGCTGCCCAAGGCACTTCCTTGCTCCAGGTGACTTCTGGATTCAGTGGTCACAGTGCCCAGGCTGGTGGGGGGGGAGGCTGGGGCACACAGTACTAGCTGAGGGCTTATCCATGCTCCCTCCTGCTCTAAAGCCACCCCTGCTGAGGCCGTATTTTCCCTCCCTGCTTGGCAATGCCTGGTGAAGACCATGGGAAGTGCATTCTGTCAGGACACAGCCCTCTGGTTCTCCTGAGCGACATCCCACTGGAGTGATGAGCATTCATAAAAACGAAATGGCATGAATAAAAGTGCATTTCTTCTGTGTTGGAGTTGCTTTGCCCCTCTGTGGCCATTCAGTGGTGACAGACCGTGGGACTGGGCTGCCCTTCCATGGGGCAAAGGAGGGCAATAGAGATGGAGAAGAGCCTGCAGCACAAGTCTCATGAGGAGGGAGCTGGGGGAACTCTGTCTGGAGAAAAGGAGGCTCAGGAAGGACCTTATCAGTCTCTCCAACTCCCTGAAAGGAGGTGGGAGCCAGGTGGGTGTTGGTCTCTTCTCCAAGAGAGCAAGTGCCAGAACTAGAAGAAACAGCCTCAAATTGCACCAGGGGACGTTTAGATAGGATAGTGGGCAAAATACCTTCACTGAAAGGGTGGTCGGGTTATGGGACAGGCTGCCCAGGGCAGTGGTGGAGTCACCACACCTGGAAGTGTTCCAGACGTGTGTGGATGAGGCTTAGGGGTGAACACGGAGGGGCTGGCTTCATGGTTAGATTCGATGACTTGAGAGGTCTTCTCCAGCCTCACTTATTCCACGGGGGAGCGGGGACTCTGCTGCAGGGTCAGAGAAGCAGCGACACGACCGCTGGTCCCCCTGAGCATCCCCGCGGGGCTGCAGCTGCCCCACCCCCCCCAAAAAAAAAAAGGCGGTGCAGCTCCCCCCGGGGGCCGAGCCCGATGCGGAGCCGCTCGGCAGCCCCACGTGCTTTCCCGGCAAAGCCGCCGCCGGTTTCGATTTCGGGCTCGGCGATCCCGGGCTGCGCTGCCCCGGAGTTCCAGCGGGGCACCGGCACGGCCAGGTGAGCGCGGCCGGGCGGCATCGGCACATCCCTGGGCACCCCGGGCAGGGACGGGGCGAGGCGTCCTGCTGACAGCCCCGGGAGGGTCTGGGTGTGTGGGCAACTGGGGCGTCCTGGCTTTGCCCTTCTCTACCCAGCCTTTTTAGAGTTGACTTCTTTTGCGAGAAGCGCGGCTGGAATGGCAGAATTTAATACCGCTGGAAGAGACCCGCGGGATTGTTGAGGCCGGGCTTTAACAGAGCAGGTGACTTGTGCTGCCGGGTACCAGGTGAGGCAGGTCCAGGTGGGAGGTGGCAAAGTGGGGCAGAGCCCGGCAGTGGGCACTGAGTGTGGCCGCCCCAGCTGCTCCGTGTCACCCCCGGCCCCTCCATCCACTCCTGGTTCTTTCAGAATCCCCCCCGTTCTCTGCACTCAAGGCAAGACAGAGTTTCTACCCGGTTGCTGTACCTGGATATTCTGTTTTCTGTGATGAGTGAGTTATGGCACAGCGTGGTGTGCCATCTTGCCTTCTCCGGGACTCGGCCCCAGGTTCCATCTGATTTTCCAATGCAGCTCCACTGGCATCCAGAGAAATATTAATGATATTTCATTGTTTATTGCTCTCCATACTGCTAGATCTGCAGATCTGTGCAAACATGGTTCTATTTAGAAACCTGGGGCCTTTTATCGATTCATTCACATCTCCAGCGTTCCCACCTAAACCTTAACCCCATTCCAAAGGAAATGCAAAGGAAAAGCAAGTTGGTATTTTTTTTTTCCTCTTAGATATAATGGAAATGGTAAAGAAATATTTCCCCCTGTGCCAGAATAATCAGATGTATGCTTCTAAATAAAAATATAAAAGTATTCCCATTGTAAGACTCTTAACCACAACCAAGCTGGTTTCCTCCACAGAGAATGTTTGCCTCTGAGTCCCACTTTTTGCACCACTCCCCTAAAGCTTTAACAGAAATTATCATCTGGCAGTAGATTTTGGAATAGGATGTCACCCTGCTGCTGTTCTGACTGGCTATTTTTGCTCATCCTGTAGATGGACTTCGTTTGGGGAATTCCTGGCTACTTTTACTTTCATTTTCCTCAGTCTTTTGTTCATCAAGTCCCAAAAGGCACGGAAGGGTTTTGTGCCTCAGAACAGTGGTGGGTTAGCAAGTGGAAATCAAGGCAGTGGATACTGCCCTCCAGCTTGTTTCTTTTTGTGCCCCCCATGCTGCTTTGGTGCTGCTGCTCTGTTTCTGGGCTTCTGGTAAGTTAGCCTGTGCTCCTCACAGCATGCAAGAAGTTGGTAGATTTGCAACAGGTAGTTTCACATTTCACTTTAATTTTTTTGTGGCTGAGAACCACGTGAATGCCAAGTTGGGGAGGGGAGGTGGATTTTTGCAAAGTGTTTTAACAGTGGTTTTGCATTTAGAGGGCAAGGATCGAGGCTCAAAAGTTTTCTGGTTTTTCTTGGGAGGTTTTTGTGCTTCATTTTGGGGTGAGAGGGAGGTACTGTAGTACTGTAGGTCACTGCCCATCATTTCTGATGGTCTCATTTAGCAGAGTAGTAGGAGCTGTGAAGCGTCACTAAACTTGCCCCTACTTTTCAGTGTTGTTCTTGTTCTTGAATATGAGTCTTTCATGAATTCTTATGAGTCTAGTCTTTGCCTGAATGGTTTTCAGTCTTCATTGGCATTAAGGTCTGATTTTATTCATTTATGTATTTATTTAATAAGGCCTTATTATTTTCAAACCACACCAAGTGGACTTGGACCTGGAAGGACTGTCCCCTCTAGGGGAAAGAGGGATAGTTGGTGATGGGATGGGGCACAGAGGCTGCTCCCCATGGTTTCTGTTTCTCAGCCTTTCCTCAGTCATGGTGATGGTAGTTGTAGCTGGATGTGGGTTTCAACATCCACGTAGGGTGCTGTCTGCTGGAGACAGGCTGCTGTAGGCTGGGCTGGGACCCTGCTGCAGGATGTTTGGAGGTGTGCTGGATGGTAATGGCTTTCCTCATCCCTTCCCTTTCCCTAGGATAGGTTGGACATTGGCCAGCACCTGCTGCAGAGTGGGGTGAAATTTCCCACTGCTATCTCTGCTGATGGTGAGGAGCTGGCACTGACAGCATTTTCATCCCCCTACACTTGCAACTCTTTTGTGAGAGCTGTGTAGCCTCAGAGGATCAGCTTTCCACAGTTTGGGGTTTTTTTGTGTGTGACTGGCTGCTCGACTTGAGCAAGTTGCTGCTGCTTCTGCATCAGCTGCCACAGAGGGGCTAAGAGCAGCAGGGTGGCACAGACCAGCTCAAATCAGGCAGCGATGCCAGGAAAGCTGTCATTTCTCTATGAGTAAAACTGTCTTCACCTGCATGTTAGGGCACAAGGCTCAGTCCTGCATTTTCATCAGACCAGTAGTGAACCCTCCAATGTTGAAACTTTTCTGCTGGTTTGGGTGAGAAGGGATGAAAAGCACCACAGCTGACCTTTAGATCAAGGGCAAAGCCTCTAGATCTGTGACCTGTGTAATTGCAGTGGCCTTGTATGTCTACATCCTCTTCTGTTATTGCCCCTAGGCAACTGCATACACAGGCATGCACCACGCTCTGGGGTGTCCCTGTGTGCTGTAGAAGATTGGTTCTCCATCAGAATATGGACCAGAAGCCACCTTTGCACTTGACAACTGGAAGGAGGCTGATCACACAACAATGCAGGTAGGGGATTATGTGCACAGCTTTGATGTGGGAAGGAGGTGTGGAAGTGGAGGTGGAATTGCCACCAAAGCAGAAATGAGTTGTTCGTCCCCACAGAATGAGCAGCAGGAACAGTCCTGCACGGACTTGTGAATTGAGACACAGACATTTGAATGGGTAAACCAAAAGCTGCACGCAGAAGGAAAGCAAAACAAGGAATTAATTCACCACTTCCCACGGGCAAGCAGGTGTTCAGGCATCTCCAGGAAATCAGGGCTCCCTCATGTGTAGCAGTGACTTGGAAAGACAAACACCATCACTCTGAACGCCCCACCTTCCTCCTTCTTCCCCCACCTTTATATTCTAAGCACGGTGCCACATGATCTGGAATCTGACTGACCCTTGGGTCAGTAGGGGTCAGTTGTCCTGGCTGTGTTCTCCCACAATTTCTTGTGCACCCCCAAACCTACCCGTTGGCAGGGTGGTATGAGAAGCAGAAAAGGCCTTGACTCTGTGTAAGCTCTCTTGACCAACAACAAAAACATTCCTGACCTTCCCAGAGGTCCTGGTGTTACATGATACCAGACATCACCAGCTTCTCCTTGGCTGGTGCCAGAGACTCCGGACTCCTTTGGTTGCTCCTGTCCCTCGTGGTCCAGCTGTGCAGACAAGGACTGCTGTCCTTGCACTGTCACGACTGGCCTCAGATTTGCCACAGGGCACTCCGAGAGCGAGGCAGACGAGAAACTCCGGGCTAGAACTGAGGGACAGAAAAGCAGCCCAAGCCACCAAGGGCCGTGCTGGCTCCTCCACAGCAGGGCTGCGTGGGTGAACACCTCTCCCCTCCCGTGACGTTATTGCTGTCACCCCTCCAGCCCCCGCTCCGGAATGACGATCTGGACCTGGAAGCAGCCGTAGCACGAGGCCGGCCCCGGCTCGTGGAGTTCCTCAGCCGCTGTCCCAGCTGGCTGCTCGAGACCTCCCAGCGCTTCCTGCCGGAGCTGGCCCTCAACAGCCTGGGCAGCATCGCCGACCACAGGGAGAAGATCTCAGCGCTCCTTGACCTGCTGGAGAAGGCCGGTCCTGCCACCTGGAAGCAGTTTGCGCAGTACCTGTGCATGGAATGCGACCTCCCCCTGGATCTGGAGGTCCTGCTCATGAGTTCTGCGGGAGAAGGTAAGGGAAATCAGGCCGGCTCCCTCCGAGCCACGGCCGACAGACCAGTCTGGGCAATGCCCTTGCTCCCACAGTCTTTTTTTCCTGGAAGCAAAACTTCTGGCTTGGAAATGTAAGTTGAGGTAAAAAAAAAAGATTGGGCATAAAAAGCCAAAACCAACAAAAATTGCGCGTCACCATCTCCAACAAAGCTGAGATGGAATTTTTTGATGGATTTATTTGAAGGAGGAAAAAAAAATACTATCTCCTTGGTCTGTGGATTTTTGTCATTTTTTGAATTTTCCTGATCCAGAAAGGCAAGAAGTCTAAAAAACACTCCAAACACAAGAAAACCACTTCCCTGTATCTCTCACTAGCAGTTGGAGGCTGTGGCTTTAGAGAAAATGATGCAATTAATGAAGACCACAGTCAGCTACCGTGTGTCATCTGGATGATTACACACAGTGTGCACACGCTCTGCTTTGTTAGAGCTCTGTGAGAGCACAAGCTAAGCTGTGCCTCTCCCTGACTGGGTTGTTTTATCTGGTGATTAATTCTTCTCTTCTGCAGGAAGTCTTACAGGATGAGTCCTTCTCAGCAGGACTGTCTTTCGCATCCTGCTTGCAGTAACTTCTTGTTAGTTGCAGCAGTTGTGCAGATGCAACCTTTGGTAACCGAATGCAGCAGCACTCACTTTGGCAGGGATGAAACAAGAGAAAGACCAGACAATGGACTGAGGGGGGATTTCTGTCAAGACTGAGACAGGTTTCAGCCCTTTGATGCTGTTACGTTACCGTAAAAGAAGGTGTCTCTTAAGGTTTCCAGCTTATTTTGGTTTAACTGTAGTATTAACAACTGAGCATCACTGACCTTTCTGAGGGTGAATTGCCTCTGGTTGTGCTGAGAGGGGTTTGTGGCAGCTTTGAGCCACACCATGATTCAGAAAAAGCCTTTGACTGGGCTGCTGACTCTGCCAGTGACTAATTCATAGCAAAGCCTTCTTTGCAGGAGGAGGGAAATGTAGGGGTTCCCTTTTCAGCTGCAATGTGGTTTTAGATCAGCCAAAGCAGCCCCTGCTCCGGAGTTTTATGTATCACAGAGAACAGTTGCTTCACTTTCCCTTGAAAGCAGAGGTTGTCTGTATTCTAGAGCACTCTGAAAGGAAAAGATCACATGAGGAGCCTGAAACTTGGCTGTGTTGCATCAGCCCTTGTACTGAGTCTTGGTTTGTACTACTGTCTGTCTTGCAAGCTGCTTGCCCTTTGACCTTGGCCAGCAGCACTCCAAATTTCAAGAGCAGAACACTTGCAATAACCACATTTCATTTCCTTTAGGTAACTTCAGCCAGACAGAAGCAGCATGCACAGATATGAGTGCCCGGTCATCTGTGCCAAAAGGTAGGGCTGGAACAGTCCCTGGGGCACTGGGCTCTTGGAGTTTATCTTCTCTGCCCACATCCTGGGCAAGGCTAAAAACGTTCCAAGCATTGGCTTCAGTGCTACCAGCAACTTCAGGTTGTTCTGTTCTTGGTGCTTTCCAGGTGAACCTCTGCTCTTCTCATTTTCTCTCCCTGAATTTCAGAAAAGCCTTGCTGGCCCTGGCTCTGCTAAGGAGCTCACCTCCTTTAGTTTCTGTTGGCAAGGGAATCTCCCACCCACTCTTCCAAGTCCCTGCTTTTTGTGTCCTGCAGAGGTGCCTATTGTGGGTGGCAGGGAGTGCAGTGGTGCTGGATTGCCTGTTGGTGAAAAACAGATGATTTGAAGGAAAAGCTCTTTAGTTTCTTTTCCTGCTGTGTGAATTTGGAGTACTGGGCTAAGGCTGACACTCACAACAACAGGGGCTTCTCTCAGAGTGGTTGGGGTTCTTGCTGAGGTTTACCAGTTCTCACAGTACCTTACAGGTTGTGTGTTTGCATCTGCTGTTTCCATCTCCTGCTCCTGGCCAGAGGCACTTCATTCCATTAGCAGTGAGTGCTCCCTGCCTTGCCCGTCTTGGCTGGAGATTCATTTTAAATCACAGCTCCCAACCTACCCCTTGAAGTTCCAGCTGTTTGTAGGGTCACAGGGACAATTTTGCCTCTGCTCTTCACTCTGAGACTGATTCTGAGTCACAGCACTGCCAATACCACATGACACTGTCTCGTGTGTCACATGCAGATTTAAGATCTTGAAAACAAAGAAAACAAAGTGACCTTTCTGCTCTGCAGACAGAGCCAGCTGCTGTGCTGCCCTACTGAGTCCATCTTGCCAGTTGCTGGTGGAATGGAAATCTGAAAATAGTGCTGAAAGCTACCAGGAGCAGTTAAGAAAGGAAAGACTCTGCAAACCCTGTCCATTCTCTCCCTCTGACAGCACACCATAAACAAACTGAATCAACCACTGTAAACAGCCCCGCCAATCTGTGTGTTCCCCAGAAGCAGCTGTTCCCTGCCCGGTTCCCCAGGATAACAAAGCAGTTCCTGCATTCAAAGCGAGGCAGTTGCATCACCCAGCCTGCAGAAAGACTCACCAGTGAGGTGGCTTTTTGACATGTTTCTGACTTTTAAACTTTCAGGGTTCGATCGCCGTCGCCGTCACTGCAGCTCTGGGAGTGATAAGGAGGCCAAACAGCAACGGCTCGGTAAGTTGATATTGCAGAAGCAGCACCATGCTGTGCTTTCCCTCTGAGGAAAAAGACCTATTTAACTTCCCTGCAGAAACACCCAAGAAATCAACTTCCACCACTGAGAGAAACTTTTGTTTAGTAGCTGCACAAACCCTTAATGGAATAGGTTATAAAGACAACAGGACCTGGCAAATAACATGAAACATTCATTTCTAGTGGCTAAGAACTCCCTTAAAGAGGGATATGCCAGTAAAGTATTCAGTTCTGGGAGATCCCTTTATTTGTTTGCTGGTTCCATCAGAGATGTCAAAAAGCAAAGGTTGTGTCTGCTCCAAGGTGCAGACAGCTGAGTGTGGCACAAGGCCAGCATGGGTGAAGAGGGAATTCTTTGCATGATCCACAGATACCTAATTCTCATCTTAAAGAGATAATAAGATTTAGTTTTCATATAAAGCATTACATCTTTTCCCTGAATTTTCTTCTTCTTTGCCCCCTGTGCAAAAATAGGAAAAATTATGGGTTATTTTCACATGTTCAAAATCTGTCATTTCTACCTGGCAACCTCTGACCGGGGCCATTGTTCCTCTGTTTATAAGTGGTAGTATTTTGGATCTGTCATGACTCACAACTAACTTTTTCACCCTCGTGGCCCTTCTGTTGTTTTCTCTCTTTTAGATTCATTTGCAAAGTACCGGCGTCTCCTCATCAGTTCCATCCGCCAGAGATATGGAAGCAGGAGAGGAGCAGGAGCAGAAGCACAGGAACAAACACAGCCTCTGGCTTTCAACCAGGCCTTTGTCAACCTTGTCATTCGCCAGAACAAAGCCCCCCGCTTAAAAGAGAAAGCAGATAAACCCCGAGAGGATGTGGCAGGTGCTCCTGAGCCAGAGGAGTGTGTGGACTCAGCCGTCAAAGTGTTGGATCTCCTTTGCAGTGCGGTCCCCTCGGGCAAGACGAGGGTGATCTTTTTGTTTGGTAAACCAGGTACAGGCAAGACCATGCTGATGCACAGGATTTGTCAGAAATGGGCTGAGGGCGTCCTACCTCAGTTTCTCTTCACTTTCCTGTTCGAGTTTCGGCAGCTCAATTTATTGAAAAGAAAACTGACTCTGAAGGAGCTCTTGTTCGACGTGTTCCTTCAGCCAGAAGACAGCCCTGATGCAGTGTTCCAGTACCTCCTGGAGAATGCCCGGCAGACACTGATCATCTTCGATGGGCTGGATGAGTTTGCAGCTGACATGGACGTGTCATCCTCCAAGAGGGGCCCAGCTCTTGCCTCCCCTATGTCCATATCCCAGCTCTTTGCAGACCTCTGCCGTGGGAAGCTGCTGCCTGGTTGCACAGTGTTGGTCACCAGCCGACCTAAGAGACTTCCTGACTTACTGTATAAAGTCAGTGTGCTGGCAGAAATTTGGGGATTTGACCAAGAGAGGGTTGAGGAGTATGTCAGCCGCTATTTTCAACAGCACTCATTCAAAGAACAAGCCATTGCTCACCTGAAGAACAACACCAAGCTCCTCAGCATGTGCCTCATCCCTGCCCTGTGTAATGTTGTGTGCATTTGTTTGGAGTATTTGCTCCTTAAGCATCAGATGAGCGTGGAGCTTCCCCAGACTATGACACAGTTTTATATCAAAATGTTTCTCATCTTCCTAAGCAAACAGCAGGGAGAGAGCGCAGGTGGTGAGGAGACTCAGCTGAACTGTAACAAGAAGGCCATTTTGGGTCTGTGTGACCTCGCACTGAAAGGCCTGGAAGAGAAGAAGCTTGTGTTTTATGTTGGTGATATTCCAGAGCACGTGAAGGAATTTGCTTCCTTGCATGGACTGCTGACTGTCTTTGAGGTGAAGACAAGTGGCACTTGCCCAGAGGCTGGCTATGCCTTTGTGCACTTGAGCTTGCAGGAGTTTTTTGCAGCTCTGTGCCTCATGGTGAGTAGGAGTGTGGACAAGAACTACCTGAAGAAGAGGTTCTTCTTGAAGTCAAAGTGGACTTTGAAGAACGAGACAAAGACCGAGCTCATGGAGAGTTTTCACATCTTTCTGTCGGGCTTGTCGTCAGGAGAGTGCAGGACGTTTCTCATGCTGCTGGCAGAACAAGATGAGGCTTGGGTGCAGGATAAGCAGGATGTGATCCTGCAGTCTCTCAAGAGAATGGCAGCCACTCACCTGACAGGGCCCAAGGTCCTCGAGCTCTGCCACTGCACCTTTGAGACGCAAAACCTCCAAGTGGCCCAGCACATCGGGAGCCTGCTGAATTTCAAGTACGAGTTCAGGAACTTCAGACTGACACCTCTGGACATGTCGGCTTTGGTTTTCGTCATAAACTCGGGCCAGGATCTGACCTGGTTGGATTTTGCAGGGTGCCTCGTGGATGTCGACTGCTTGGAGGTCCTGGCTGGCTGTAAAAACGTGGAGCACTTGAGGTAAGGACACACAGAGTGCTGTGAGAGGGCTGAGGGGGTTGGAAGGGCAAGCCTTGTGGTTGCTCTAGAAGGGAGAGAAAGAAGATGTAAAAAATTCTGATCTATACAGCACAACTTCAACACTGAAGAAACACGTGAAATAATGAATTTGTGGGGGATTGAAGGGGGATTATTAAATTAAGGGGATAAATTCATTCTGGCTGCATTTTTGTATGTTTTTTTTGTCTTGATTGAAATAATCAGACAACAGGGTAGTTAGTGTAGTAGATAATAGGGAAAGTGATAGGCAATTTTTTAAAATATGAAGGCAGGAAGAGGGGGAGGGTGGTGGAGAAACTCAGGGCAGCAGGGCCACAGGTGGGGTTCTGCTCTCATGGCCCCCAAACACATTGTGGGAGACGTGCAGTGCAGGGTGTTGGTACCAACACATCCTGTAACCAGAACATTTTGCAACCGAGTCAAAGGAGAGCTTATGTGCCTGAAAGCTTATCTGTGTGTGTGTGTTTTCCAACACCACCAGTTCCCTCTATAAAAGAGGTACTTTCCAAAAAAAAAAAAAAAAAAAAAAGATGTCTTTTATATTGTGGACAAGTCTGTCTACTCTGCAACCCAAATTTAAAGTATCTGGCCTGAAATCAACCCTCTCATAGCTCAGCAGCTCATCACATGGGAGCTGTTAGACACTCTCTGTTTGTAAGGAGTTTGGGTTGCCCTGTGTGACCTCTCTGCTCTCCAGGGTCCTGCCTCTGGTGGGGGATGGAATAGGGCTGATGCTTCCATCTGTGGCAGCACCTGCACGTGGTGTCACTCTACTAAAAGGCAGAATTTGCCTCTTGAAGTGTTTGCAGTTGATGTGCAAGTTTAGTGTTGGGTATTTTTTTAAACAGATGTTTGGAAAGATAAAGATGCTGCTGAAAAGAGCACGATACCAAACCTGCCAAGAAAAAAACCTCAGTGCTTTTAAAAAAAATTATTATTTAACCTGCTCTGTGGGCTAACTTATTTCGGGTTTTGTTGTGTTTATGAGTTCTTTTTTTTCCATTTTCTTCACGTTTCAGCTTTCGTAGCAGGAGATGTGGCGACGACTTTGCTGCTGCTCTTTCAAAGGGCTTACGAGGAATGAGGAGCCTGAAGAAATTAGAGTAAGTCTTTGCTTGTAAGGTAAAAGCCTTCTCTCTCCCTGTCTGTTCTCTATCAGTTGAACTACCTTGGCTCACTGCAGTCTGACCTGCTCTGGGCAGCAGAGTGTGGAGGATAACACAGTGCTGTGCAGAGCATGTTTGTGTTGTCCTGCCCGAAAAGGAGAATGAAGATGGTTGCAGGTGCTGTTGTCTCTCACTGTCAGAGTGCTGGGAGCATGGAGCAAGTCTGAGGAAGGCTTGCCATGCACTGCACAGGATGCCAGTCCTCCCTCTGCTTGGTTTGAACGATTCTTTCTCTCTCCAGGCTGACAGGCAGCAGCATCACAGCCGAGGGGATGACTAACTTGGTCCAGGCGTCCTCACAGTGCCTCCAGCTTGAGGAAATAAAGTGAGTGTGTTGTGGCAGTGACCCTCAAACCAGCTGTTCATTCCTTGGGGGCCTGGGACACTGATGAGGATGAATCTGTGCAGCTTGCAGGACAATCGGATACGGGATCCAGAGGTGAAGAGGGTGATGGACCTGTTCTCCAGAATGGAAAACCTGAAGAAAATAGAGTGAGTGGAAAAAATGGCTTAAACCTATGGAAAATGGTAGCCACGAGAACAAAGCACAGGACTTGTAGAAGCAAGACTTTATGTTTCATATTTAATGAGGTCCAACAGGTAATGAAACAGAATGAACATGCAATTAAAGAATAAATCCTCAGAGGCTGGAGGATTGTGTTTAGACCTCACTGCTTTAATATTCCATACTTAAATTGGATTTGTGGTAGCAGGAGTTTAACTGCACTGTGGCTTGGTTATGCAATTATACAGGTATGAAGTACATTCCCTAATTAACCCAAAGTCAGTTAATGATCCTTCTGTTGCACATAAAGAGGTTATCCCTGATTCTAAATTCATGGGAGCTACTGCTTGCAGTGCAAGGACCGTGATCTGATAAAGCTTTTGTTGCAAAATTCAGGAGTTTTGAAGTGAAGAACGTGTTCTTCAGGGTGTTCAGGGTGCAGAGCAGAGGGCATTGGTGGAACAAAGGAGTGTGCTGTGGGATCCAGCAGCTGAGGTTGTGCTTTTCCTCACGTTCACAGTCTCAGCAACAACCACCTTTCCTTGAAGGCTGTCCTTGCTCTGGCAGAGGAAGTCGTTGCCTGTCAAAACGCCACTGAACTGTGTGTCAGGTGAGATACATGAGAGCAGTCACAAAAGCAAGTAGGCTGTCCCTTTGGATGCTGGATTTTTAAATGGACACTGTTTTACGGCTTCACTGCCGGCTAATCGAAGTGAACATAAATTAATTTGACTCCTTTTTCTTTTCCATTGCAAACAAAATGTGAATTCACCTTATCGTGTACTTCTTCTTTGTATTTTTTTTTAATAGGTCATTCTATCCTTGGTCTATAAATTCATTGGTGGGGTGTGATATTTCTTCTTATATAACAGAATTTAAACTCACTTTTAAGCTCTGCAATACATCAACTAGGAAATACTTTACCAGCTAGCATAAATTTGCCATAAATCAGCTAAGTTTATTAAAAATGTGTGGATTTAAATATCTCTTAACTCCACCTTCCTTTAAATTACAGGGTTTGGTGTTTTCATATGTCCAGGATGACAGAGAAAGGGTAGATCTTTTTCAGATCCTGGCTTTTATGGCTGTCTTATCTGTTCTGAGTTTAACAGGCCCAGGTAATCCCTGGTGTAACTCAAATTGCACACAGCTTTTTCTTTACTTCTCTTGCTGGAACGGAGTTTCTACCAAACCCCTTTCCAAAAAACCAAAACAAACAGCACAACTTCTGGTCTTGCAAAAAAATGAATCCTGGCCCAATCTTTTTAACTCTGTCACTCTCTCATCTGCACTGCAGCCCCAGCTCCAGGTGTGGGGTGTCCTGGTGCCCCCTTAGCCACACTTGTGGCAATGTGCCAGCGTGGCAGATGTCAAGGCCCTCTTTAGCATCCAGGCAGCAGGTTTGGTCCTTCCTGGGCACCTCTGCTAAACAAATGGCATCCTTCCACCTGTGCCCTAACACTGGCTTGGATCTCTTTTTCAGGAAGGACACGGTGATTGTTTATTTTTCCGGCCCACCTGGGGATGTTCCAAGGTGAGAAACTGCCATTGGGGTTGTGCTGAATTCAGAGTTAATGCTGAGTCCAACCATCAGCTCGGTGTCACCACAAACCACCCCAGCAGCAGAACTGGTTGCCTCTGCCCTTGCATCTGGCAGAGCTGGGTCCACCTGAGCACGGTGAAATGTAACCAAAATTGCTGGGTTTTGCACCAGCCAGTTGCACAAAGGCAGTTCCTCAGCGCCTGTGCAAACTTCAAGTGCAGTTTCTATTGCAAAACTGCTGACAAACAGATGAACATGAGGAAAATGAAGGAGGATACCTTGCCTCCTTCTTTGGCTGGCTCCTGTGCTCTCCTTGCTTGTGCATACTTTTGAGGGAACGGTGGATTTGACCTTAATTAAGAAACTGTGAAATAGTCTCTTGCTCCCTGACAGGGAACTCACTTTGCAGTCCTCAAAGGACCACAGGATTTTGCATTCATGTGCCAACTGACTCATCCTGATCTTGAGTCAGCCAGAAATTGCTCCTGTTCAGATACCTGAACAGCTCTTGTGAGCCACCTGGTGCAGCTCATATGTTTATCCTTCCTGGGGTGGCCCAATCCTACATGGAGGCAAAACATCCTGCATCTTAATAACTCCTTTGAACTGGGGCTCAATTATCCAGTTGAATCACACATACAGTGAAATCCTCCGTGGACACCCCTGTGCTGCATCTCCCAATTAAACTCTCCTGGATTTTTGAAACCACTTAACCTTGCATGGAGTGGTTGGACAGAACAAAAACCTTGTCGTTTCTGCCAGAAAATATTGACCAGCACCCAGTTCATCAGGTGTTTCATGAAGCCATATTAAAGGCCAAATATTTTGCTTGTTTGCAGATCTTTGGATTTGAGGTCGGAAGAGGATAAGGAACATGTAATTCCAGCTAGACAAGTGAAGTTATGGTAAGAGAGGGCCTTGAAAGTCCTGCTGGTGCATGTGATTTGCAGGTGACAGGTACTACAGAAGGGCAAGAATAGCAGCTGTGTTGGTCCTTAAAGACAGAGGGTATTTCCTCTTCTGAAAATGTTTGAATTACTGAATCAGTAAATTAAAATATCAATGGAAATCTCTCTCTACAGCCCTAGAGAGGCAGAGTTCCTTTGATAATGCCCATCTTGCTCATCTTCCATCGGTTCTACCGACTGCCAAAAGCATGAGCCATGGTTTTCTTTCTTGCCTGGGCTCCAGAAGAGTAGTGGTTTGCTGAAAGTAGAACTCAAGCGTGTTATCTGAGATCTCAAAGCTGGGAAATGGCCCTTCCTTACCTCCTTCTCCTTCCCTCACCCCCCCTGCACAACAGGAACAATTAGAGCCATCCCCTTCTCTGGGTTGGAGGTGCCTCTCACACAAGGTGCTGCACTTGCACAGCCCTCTGGAAATGCATCCCTGGGTACTCCTTTTGCAGCCCTGGCCATAGGGAAATAGAGTAATACCTACCCAGGACTGTGGGGCAGAGCAGAGAGTAAAACCCCATGCCCTCCCTGCTCACTAACCCTTCCTGTCCCCAGCTTGCAGGATCGCAGCCTGTCCCCCCAGCATGCCATGGACGTCGCTGCCATTCTCCAGAGCTGCCCCTGTCTCTCTGAAGTGGAGTAAGTGCCACCTCTCCTCCCTGCTGAGTGGCTGTAGGTGGGTGTGGTTGGGAGTAGGGGGGATCACAGAATCACAGGCTGGTTTGGGTTGGAAAGGGCTTTAAAGATCATCTGGTTCTACCCCCTCGCCATGGACAAGGACACTTTCCACTAGACCAGGGATGTTGCGTGTAGAGGGCAGTCAGACATGTCCTTTCCTGTCTTTCCTGTCCCCCAGGAAAGGTCCCAGCAGTCTGTTATGTCCAGTCACGTCTGGCTCCTCTTTTGTAACTCCCACATAGGTTTTCTAAAGTAAGATGGGTTTGGGGGCTAAAACATGAATAATGTTTTCCTAAGGATAAAACTTCTTGCCCAAAGTTGATTCATGCAGGGATAACCAGGGAAGTTTGAGCTGGGACAGAAGAACAGTCCAGGCAAAAAAAGCAATTGTAGGAAAGGGAAAGCAAGCACATTTTGAGGGCTTTGTTGTCTATACTGTTCAAAACAGTCCCCACTAACTGGAAAACACTTCAGTTTATCAGGTAACAAGCTTGGAGATGAAGGCTGCTGTTTCCTGCTGGAAAGTCTCCCTCGGATATCCATTTCAAAGCAGCTGGAGTAAGTGTTGCCTTGTACAAAACCAACTTGCTCTCTTTCCTTGAACCTGGCAAGCACTGTACAGGGATGCTGAGCACAGATGGAGGAGGCAAAAGGCTCACCCAGAGCAGCTCTACAGCAGCAGCTTCTTGAGGCAGGGTGAGACTCAGCCCAAGGGATTATCCAGGCTGAAGATGGTCACTTGCTTAGTGTCACACATGGAAACTGGTCTGAATGCATCCAAAGTGCTCAAGTGCTCTTCCATTAAAACCCCTTCCTGAGGAGCAGTGATCCTGTGTGTTTTCCACCACGCCACTTCTGAAGGGAGATGGGTTTAGTCATGCAGCACACTGCTGGCTGCTTCTACTAGGAACTCTGTGATTTCAGAGACCAGCTAATTGCCCTTTTTACCCTTTCTTAGTCTCAGTCAAAACCGCCTCTCTGTCACCGGCATTTGCAGCCTGCTGAAGTCAGTAAATACCTGCCAGAAGGCGATGGAGGTACAAGTCAGGTATGTAGGTCTTGAATCATTCCTGGAGTTAATCCCAATATACAAGTCTGAGGTTTTTGTTGAGTCACCTCCGAAGTGGGGCAGGTGAAGAACCTGTCCCAGGGTGGTTACTTACCCTGGCACTTGTTGATGCATTGCTGTAAACTGATTTTATTGGAGCCACTGGCCAGAATTTGAGAGGGTACAGAAATGTGTGTCCCTTCATGAGTGGGGGTGGTTTTAGATACTTCCCTGCACTCTGCCTTGGGAAGTTTTGGAGACAGGATCTCTGTGGAGCCTGGGAACTGGTGACACCTCCTGGAGCAGAGCTGGAAGTTCTCTGTTATTACTTTCACTTGGAAACCCACTGGAGCTCAAGGATAACAATTTTATCTGCACTTTCTCTAATGATTCAGAGGAACTGGACTATCTGATATCGCATAGTTTAACCCAACCACTATTTTAAGCTGATGGAGATTATTCTTTGCTTGCTTTTGGAGCGTCTTAAGTGATTGGCGTCACCAAAGAGTTTTGCAGAACAAAACTCAAACATTCTTAAAACAAAAAGTTCTGTAAAATAACCAAAATGTGACATTGATTGACTCCTCTTTTTCACAGCCTTCATCATAAGACTGCAGTGCTGAGGTTTACAGAAGACAGTGAGTTTTCTTCCCTTCCTCTAAGGTAGAGTGGGAGTGCACAAATGGTGTCATCACAGCACCTCCTTTTGTTTTTACATCCCCTTTAGTTACAGTTTAGTTAATTAGTTTAGCCAGTTCCATTTAGTTATGAATAGTCAGGTTTTTGCACAGATGTGGACTCCTCACTAAACATGTTTAGGCAACACCTGAATTTTCCATCAAACTGTAGCTTAGGCAGAAATCCCCTTCTTCCCCACTGCCTGCTTGCTCAAATATTTGGTTAGAAAAGGAGAGCTTGCTATTGGCAAGATATGGGTGTGGGCTAGAGCCAGGGCAGCCCCAGGGTTATGCCAAATTCCTAAAGCATAAATGTTTTACCTTTCTCTGGTTTTGTGCTCTCTTAGGGGAGAGGCTGTGCTCTCTGCTGATGACCAAAAATACCGAGAGGAAAACCAGACACCCACCACTCCCCAGAAAATAAGGTACCCTGCAAGTTCTCATCATATTTCATGCATGTCCTATCTCAGGATCCCACAGCTGATGTAAACTGCATCTCTGAATGGTGAATCACAGGAGAACTGGAAAATGCTGAGGAATCTCCTCGGTGCAAGTGGCTCTGGGTGCAGCTGCCGTGTGAGCTGCAGGTTGTGCCCTGGGTAGGGGGATTGGCTGGAGCCCCCAGCAAGGGCCATGTCCTGGTGCCCACCTGGGACCTGCAGCACCAGGCAGGGGGTGGCTGCTCACCCAGGGGCTCTGCAGGAGCCAGTGAACACTGAGCTATTTGAAGGAGATTTTTTATTTTCATTATTATCTCCTTTATTCTCTTATTTTCTGAAGGAGTGAAGCTTACAGTTTTGTCTGCAATCCTGCAGAACTGGTCGACTGATCTCTCTTTTCCCCCAGGCTGACAGACAGCAGCTTTAAAGGCAGTGACCTGAAGAATCTGTGTGCAGTCCTGAAGGAATGTAGCCACATCTCTGAGCTGGAGTGAGTCCTTCTTAACTCTGATGGTCTTTATCTGCAGCTTTTTGGGATGCTGAGAAAATGCCACTTGTCTGTTCTGCAGTGTTGTATAGAGAGTGTGGTAGAGACATAAATGCTTTAGGTGCCTGTATCCTGAACTAAGAGCTGATGGTGCCTATTGTGGGGGTTTTTTTCCCTATGAAAATTAAATGCCTTTTTTTAAATCCTAGCCTGTCAAATAACTGTCTGGGAGATGAGGGACTGTTGCAGCTCTTTCAGTGCCTCCCGAACATGAAAATGTTAAGTTCTCTCAAGTGAGTAGCTCCTTTTTCTCCTCAGTCATGGACTGGGTTTTGTGGAAGTGTTGGTTGTGGAAGCAAGGTCCATCTTTGGAAAGGGCTCTTTGGGATCAGCTACAGTGACATTCTGTGCTGCCTGGTCTGTCCCCAGCTCTAGTGCAGAACAGATTGACTCCACTGGAAGCTTGGTTGAGATCAGTGCCTGAGAGTCTCTCTGCTCAGCCCTCCGTGAAGGGGACAGGTGGTTCTGTGTGACGTGTAGCACCTGCTTGCTAAAACAGCCTGAGGTCTTCTGCAGGTCACTGAATTTTTCCTCTCCTGGTTCCTCCCTGGGAGGGGGAGCAGTCCTTCCTCTCCTGAGGGGAACAGCTTTGGAAGAGAAATGCTGGGGAGCTCCAGATGGGGAGCTCCACCTCCAGTGGTGGAGTCTGAATTCATCTGCAGTGGTGGCACATGTTTACCTGGGGCATTTCACCCACTGCTAAGGCACTATACAGGACTGTGGCTTAAGGAGTGTAGCACCATTCTACTTTATTAAAAAAAATATTTCTTGCTCCTGTTTGATTAATTGAACTGTTCTCAAGCCAGAACTGCTCCAGTTCCTAACAGTCTCACCAGAACAAGTTGCCCCGAGGGACTGTGGATTCTCCATCTTTGGAGGTGTTGGAAGCCCAGCTGTACAATATCCTGAGCAGCCTGCTCTGGTCTAACCCTCCTCTGAGCAGGAGAGCTTGATTAGATCAGCTCTAGAGGTCCATTCCAACCTCAGTTATTCTGTGATTCTCTGAACTCTAAAAGTGAGGGATGAATTTAAAAAACACTGGAGCGAGTTGTGTTTGCAGAACCACAGCTGGAAACAGGCAGAAGGTGGCAAAGAAGCAGTCTGAGAGAGCTGGGCAAGGATCAACATCATCGTGTGGTCTGGTATAAATTGCCAGTATTTTGCTTGCAGCAGCTGATTTCACCTCTTCTTCCTGTAGGTTTAATGACAACCAGATCTCCCTGGACTCTGTGTTTTTCTTAGCTCAGTCCTTATCTACACTGGAACACATTAAAACAATGAACCTCAGGTATGACCAGGAGTACTATTCCTAATTTTTTTTTTTATTTTTTTCAATTCAAAACCTCAAGCTGTGGTTTTTGAGGAGTGGTAGAGGAGCACGTGTCGCCAAACTCCATGCTAATTGTGTTCTTTTCTGGTTGCAGCTTAGGACACGTGCAGGTGGTTCATCTAACCTTTTGGGAAAGAGTCAGGTAAAATCATACCCACTCAAGTAAGGCTTTCAAACTCCTCCTTGTGAAATCTTAATAGATGGTGCTGTGTGAGTCCCTGAGGCTTGCCAATTAAAAGCTCACTGGGCTCCACACCCCACTCAGGGTGGGGGGAGCAGGATGAGCTGTTTCATGGCTGATGGACTGAAAGCAGCTTGAGGCCAGCAGTGTCCAGCTGCTGATCCAGGCTGCAGTCATCTCCCTGCCAGGCAAGGACAGAGCAAATGCCACTCAGCGGAGTGGGTGCAGAACTCTGTGTAGTCTGGAGGAGAGGGATAATGAGGCCCTTTTCCTTGTGGGGATGAGTAAACCTAGTTCTGGTACATGGTGAGAAGAGGCAGATCAGAGTGTGAGGTCACTGCCACCACCTCACCCTGTTCCTGGGGACTCAGCTCCACACAGGCACTGACATGAGGACAACTCATGGGCTGAATTGTTCTTTCCCCAGAAGTAGCAGCAGATGGAGAAGTGGTTTCCTGGCACATCCCAAGCACGAAGCAAAAGGACGATGCTTTTGGTATGGCTTCTTTTTGTCACTCAGGAGTCCAGGGAGAGATGGCTGGAGGGATCTGTACCTTCAGTGCAGGTATCTTCAGTGTATCTTTAGTGGGTGGCACAGACCCACCCCTCCAGCTGTGTCTCCTCAGGGAGGAAAATAAATAGTTCATCTTTTCCTTGGCTAGGTTTGAGGGGATTGTCTTGATTTCCTGCAGAGGGAGCTTCTACCCATAAATAATGAGATACTGGCTGGCTACTACATTCATCCCCTGGAGACCTGCCAGTTTGTCACCCTAAAAAGGTTTCTGTGAATTCCTTCTTGGAGAAGGACATTGGAGGCACCATTTCCAGCCTTTCTCTGGGACAGCTGAGACAGTGCTGAGCAGGGAAAGTTGCTGTCCAGTCTCCTGGGACAATTTAAGTACCAGTGATGTGGCTCTAGGGAGGCAACACCCAAAGTGATGTGTTATTTCAGTGGACTGGCTCTTTTGAATCAGCTCAGAGTAGATAAAATCATCTGGTTCTTGCAGATTTTTGACTTCTCAGTCCTAGATTGTGGGTAGCAAAATACATGTGGTGAAAGAGAGAGGCTTGCTATGGGCCTTTGTCCCAGGATGTGAGGCTCTGGGATAGGAAGGGAGTGTTACCATACCATGGTCATGGGAAATGTTCAGCTCCTGAGTGCTCTGCTTGTTTCCTTCAGTCTCAGAGACTGCAGATTGGGTCCAGAGGACATGACCAGGCTGTGCCAGATACTGGCTCAGTGTCCCCAGCTGACAGAAATTGAGTAAGTGGTGTGCACTCAGCATCCTGTCTGTCTGTCTGTCTGTCTCCCCAACCTGCAGATACAGAGTCGATTCTGTTCAGGGTGGCAATCAGTCTGTATAAATGTTATAGAAATGCTTACAGGTTGTCCCAGTTTCTCTTGCATTTTGTTTCCTTCCACGTTCCACAGTCTGTCTGGAAATTCCTTGAGTGACCAGAGCGTTGAGACGTTACTGAGCTTCCTGCCATCCCTCCCTCATCTGACACTGCTGAGGTAATGTTTGGGGTCCTTGCTTTGGCTGCTGCCACGAAACATTGGTTTGGAAAGTGTTAGTACCACTGCATGTCTTAGAGGCACTAATCAGTAATTGCAGATGAACAAACTAGGCAAAGGAAAAGCAGAAATGCTTTCAAACCCATTCCTGTCCTTTTTTTTTCCAGAAGCAAAGCAGCACAGAACATTTTTTCTTTAATGACATTTAGCAGGGGGGAAAAGGACAGGAGGAGAGGTATCTGCCCTAGGCACAGCACACCATATAACCCTCCCTTAGCAGGTCCAATGGAACACGACCTCCAGCATCCATAACAGGTGTAGGAACTGTTGGTTGACACGTGGTGACAGCACAGCACTTGTTTGTGGGGTCAGCATCTCCCAGCTCTGCCCCTGTGTGGATCTGACATCCTGCCACACTTGACACCAAAGGTGTTTTCTGGCAGCTTATTGGCCATTCAGGCTGGGAATTTAGGCCAGAGAAGTGCTATCAGGGGCTAGGGCACTCCACCATGTGGACAAAAAGCCCAGAAGGGGCTTGGCCATCTTTTACAAGATGTAGCACGGAGGAGCTGCAGCGTCTTGAGAGCTGAATTTGCCCCATCAGGAGATTGCTTCCAGTCTGGGGGTATCTCTGTTCCAGTAGCCCCAAAGAGGAGTTGTTCAGTGTAAGCCCTTGGTCTGTACTCCCTTTTTAGTCACAGGGGACTAAAAAGATTCTTCTTTACTTTAAGGAATGCTCAGTGCCAGTGCTCAGAACTTCAGATCCTTGCTCACTGATCCTGAATTAAACGGGATGGGTCCAGCCTTTTGCATCCTGAAATAAACAATGGGGAAATTGGGCAGTGTGTGTTGGAGCCCTCCTTCTTGGGACCTGATTTCACTGTTTTTTCTTTCTCTTCCTTTTCAGTATTAGGCAAAACACATTGTCCCCACGTTGTGCTGTTTCACTCCTCAACTCCATCAACCTCTGTGAGCGGATCAGAATGGTGGACATCCGGTAAGACCCTCACAGTTTTTGGAGCCCAGCAGCTCAACTCTGAAGTGACCACAAAGCTTGTCATCTTCGAAGAGCACTGCTGAAGGGCTGTCTTTTGTGTCTGCTTCAGGTCAAGTGAAAAGGCCTTTTTGCATTTAGGAGCAAGCATGCAAAGGCAGAAGACATCCTGCAGGTACTGGCATACAACACTTACTGTAGTTCACTTGTGATTGGGTTAGAAGCAATAGTGCAGGGAGGCAAATTTCCTCTTGTTTTGAGAAGCCAAGGAGCTTGGGCTAGTAACTGAAGCTCTGGGGCTCAGTTCATGTGCCTAAGTGCAACCCCAAACCATTCAGATGCATTGAGATGGCAGAGGCCAGTGCCTTTCTTGAGTGGCCACTGGACTGGACTCCTCACGATCATCACAAGCACCTGAACTCAGTGCTAGTCACTGCATTTCCCAAATGTGTGCCTCAAGTTGTGGGTGATAATCCCCCCATGAACATCTGTGTGATGTGTGTGTGACATGTGTCTGTGACCTCTCTGGGACGGATGGTTCCCTGGAAAGGAGACTGTAACCTGTCAGCACCAAGGAGATGGCAAAAAACCCTGTGAATGCTGCACAGAGACTGGTGCAGCTCGCAGTGCTCAGGCTGAGCCTGGTTGCTGGCCGTGCTTTGACTCTCTTGCTGTGTGACACGCAGGCTGACAGGCTGTGCCATCGGGGAAGGGCAGGTCGATGAGCTCTGCAGCGTCCTGGAGCAGCACGGGTGGCTGGCAGAGGTGGAGTAAGTGGGGCTTGGGGTGTTTCCATGACCTTGAGCCAACCTGGGGTTGGCACGGTCCAGCCATGGGCCATCTAGTCTAACCCCCTGTCACGAGCAGGGACATCTTCACCTAAATCAGGTTGCTCAGAGCTCTGTCCAACCAGGCCTTGAATATTTCCAGGGGTGGGGCGTCCCCCACCTCTCTGGGCAACCTGTTCCAAAGGCTGAGTTTTGGTTGGCCACATTGTTCTTCTGCTTTCAGTCTCTCCAGGAATCAGCTGGGAGATGAAGGCCTGAGGTGCCTTTTGGACCACTTGCATCGAGTGCCCATTACCTGTTCCCTCAAGTAAGAAAACACGCTGTGAATCTGAGGTGCCCTCAGCAGAAAGGTGTTTGTGGGACCCCTCACAAAGCTGCTTGTCGTGCTACTTGCCCTCTCCTGCCTTAGGAGGAAAGGTCTGAGTGAGGCCAGGGTGACTCCAAAAGTCTTTTTATTAGTGTCAGCAGGAGGCAACAGGGACCAGAGCGGGGTGGTGTGACAGAAGTTGACCCAGTCCCCTGAGTTTTCAGTTCATCACTTTTCAGTTTATGTTGTCCTCTTTGAGTAACTCCAGACCCAGAGGTTCTGTGAGCTGAGCTGTGCCCTACTCCAGCATCTCCCCTTCCCTTTTTTGGTGGGGTAGCAATTGTGTAGTTTAGTGTAAGAGGCAAACAGTTACTGTGTCCTCCAAGTCATCAGTGGTGTGTCTTGGTGTGTCTTGGGGGTCGGTGCATCGAGCACAGCCAAAGGGGCTCAGCACCCCACAAACTGCTCTGCCTTCAGTGCCAGCTCGAATTTTTTCCACTATGCCCTGGGGACAGCCCTGAGTTCTGCCACCTAAAAATCTTTCCTTCTCTTCTGTGCAGTCTCAGCCATAACAGGATTTCTCAGGATGGAGTTCTGCATCTCATAAATGCCTTCGTCACATCTGGAAACACCACTGAAGTTCAAGTCAGGTGAGTGTTTCTCTTCACTAGTTTCTGATTCTTCCTTGCTGCTTTTTCTCTTAATTATTGAAAGTTTGTGATCTTCAGGCAATCATGACGAGTGACAGGTTTTCATCTACCTTATGTGCAAGTGCATGCAAAGCTTTTGTTTATGTCCATTTCTAATGGCAAAACATAAAGGCCAAGCAGAACTGTTTTGGCACAGGACCACATCATTTTTGTGCACAGACCCACAGCTGTACCAATTGTCATGCATGTATCTGTTAATGAACCTCTTCAGGGCAGGAGTCAGCATTTGCTTTCTAAAATTCACTTCGGTATGCTGAGATTTCAGAGTTTATGGTAAGAAATTTGCAGCGTTCTTTACTTGGATTTGCATCTTTACCTCCTTTCCTCTCAGGCAAAAATAGCCCATGGGCTCTGGAGCTGTTGCACTGGCATGATGTGCTTTTCTCACAGATTCCAGGCACAGGGCTGGGAGTTCTGCACATCTGACCTTATCAGTGTTTATGTTCATGGCACCACTTGGTCCTGAGCCAGTTTGAACCAGGAGCACTTCCACTGATTCCTGCAGTTAAATGGGATTGCTGAGTCTTTGGGCTGGACTATTTTAAAGCTGATCAGTCTCCTGTTTTCCCTCTGCCCAGAGCTTGGCAGAGAGTGCAGGGACAGGAGGAGGCAGACAAAAGCAGGACAGGTCAGGATTGCTTCTCCAAACACCAGTGCTGCCTTATGCCAATTTAAGCATTAGTGAGGCCTCACTGAAGCATTTCCCTGGGCTGGTTTATTGTAGGGAGAGGTGAGCTGGGCCAGGTAACTCTGTCACTGTTGTGCTGGGTTGTATTGTCAAATTCTGACCACTGGGACAAATAGCAATCATCCCTCCAAATCTTACTCTCATTTCTTCTCTGTGCAGTTTGTGCTCCAAAGCAACTTTAATCCTCAAGCTGACAAGCAGAAATGACCCAAGAAAGATTTTGAGGTAATGTTACAGATTTTTTGTGGTGTTTTCTTTGGCAGAGTTGGTGCCCTTTTTCTAGGGACAAGGGAGACGAAATCTCTTCTTGCCCCTAGCTCCTGGCATGGTGATATTTTACACTGGTAGCTAATGGATTTCCTCTGATGCACCTTCTGGGAAGAGCTTTCTCCTGCCACAGAGATTCCCACATCCCTTTCTCCCTCTGCTTTCCCTCTGACTGTTCTTCACCTGGGCACCTGTAGGTGTGCCTACAGTCCCTGTCACAGGACAGGGTGACACAAAAAGCTGCACCATTAGCATACAGGTATGCTCTACCAGAACATCTCAACAGGTGCTTTTGAACTGTTGCCACAACCTTTTTTTTTTGGGGGGGGGAAGCCCTGAAAGGTGTTCAGGGTGTTGGTGCCATCTTTCTTTCTCTGTGGGGGAAAGGCTGCGATGCCTGAGATTTCTGGGTCAGAAAGCCTTAACTCTTTGTGGTGAACTCTAAGGCTGTTCCCCTTTTTTTTTTTTTTCCTTTCAGACTTTCAGAGTGCAAATTTCAGCCAGAGCACTTGGAAAAGCTGTTCTTGCTCCTGGAAAAGTGCACGGGTCTGACGGAGTTCACGTGAGTTGATGGCTGCTTGGACCCCTTTGGTTGGGCTCCTTTGTGAGCTCTTCATTAAAGTGAGCTCTTGGTTCTAGGTCCTCAAATAACAACGTGACAGTCCAAGCTGCAGAAAGGCTTTTGCATTCCCTGAGGAAAGATCTGGGCTCTCTGAAAATCAGGTACTGTGTCGCTGTGCTGTTTTAGGTGCTGATCTGAGGCTGGTCTGATCATCTAAGATCTCCTTTCACCAGAACCAAAAGTGAACTGTGTTTCTTCCAAAGACAGCTGGCCTCAGAAATTACCATGGCTGACTCTCAGTTATTGCTATTTGGCTTTATATCCTTGATTCCTACTAAGCATCATGCAAAGCTCTGGCTGTAATCTGTGCTGTGTCTCTGCAAACCACTCCCTGCCTGCCTTTCAAAGAAGGGCGATAATTCCGGTGAACCTGTTCCTACCGTGTCCTTGCCCAGAGCATCACGCAGTTTACCTGGCTAAGGAACTCTCCACTCCTCCCAGAACATGTTGTGTCAGAGCACAGGGGCCAGGATCCCCCTCACTGCTGCCCAGTGTGATGTTTGTGTTCTCCTCTGGGCTGCTTCTGCCTCCTCCCAGTTTGCACCCCGTGCTTACTCTGCTAAGCAAAGCAACCCTTCCATGCATGTGAGGGTGTGGAGCACTCAGCTGACGTGACAGAGGCAGAGATGGATCTGTGCAGGTGAATAAAGCAGAGCTTCATGTTCTGTGCCCTGCTTTGCAGCATAGAAGAGCCCTGGGTATGCAAAGAAAGAGTCATGGACCTTCTCAAGCTGGCTCTCCAGGCCTGTGGGAACATCACTGAGATCACGTAAGCAGCACCTCAAATTCTGAGGTCTTTCGGGTATTTTCTTTTAGCCTCATACTTTTAAGGAAACGGGATGGGAGCCAGCACTTGATCTTCTGCTCTTTATTCACTGTCTATAGTGAATTTGTAAGCTACTGGCCAACTTTTGAAGCAAGTTTAACCCAAATGTCTGGTGGGTGGAGGTGCTCAGCATGTTTGTGGCCACGCACCTCAGAAGGTTTAATGGAAAGGAGGCCGTGTTCCTGGTTTCCTTTGGGAGGAATTGTGCTGAGATAAGGTTGGCTTTGGAATTAGTTTAAACACTGCAAACCTCTTCAGAGATGGGTGGTTAGAATTCATGCATCAGCATAGTCCTGTCCCACTCAGTCCTCCTGATTTTCTCTCTCTCAAGAGCTCACAGGTTTATGATATTCTCTAATCTCTACCTTTCCAGGATATGCAAAGATAAACCCCTCTTCCAATTAGATGTAAGGTTCCCACGCTGCCTGGAGAAGGTGGACACAGTCTTTAGCAGGTCAGAAAGCAATGATTTATCATTATTTTCTGCTGGTTCTGAAGCTCAGTGTGGACTGAAAAATATCTTCAGGGTGTCTAAGGCTCTGGTCTCCATGGGTTCAGTCTCAGAGTGCCTCAGTGCCACACGTGTGGAAGAAACCTCGTTCATGTGCATGTGCCTTCTGGGCTGCTCTCCTTCAGGCCCACACTGGACCTGCATGAGGGAAAAAAAATCCACCTTCCCTGCAGGACTGGGAGCACTCAGGAGGCAGCAGCACTTTGGAATGCTGGCTTTCTGCAGGAGCGTGCAGAGAGAGCAGCGTTAGTGTCTTCTTCCCCTTGTGCAGCTGAAGAAGGCAGCAGATGTCACCTTGGGCAGTGGGGGTGGGCTGTGTTTGTCCCCACCGTGCTGTGACATAAATGGGATGTGGCAGGAGAGCTCTTGAAAGCCCTGATCTGTCCCTAATCCTGGCCCTGAGGGGCACCAGGTGCTGCAGTGGGCTCTGCTGATCCCCACAGGGGATCCCCACAGCAGTCGTGATGTGTGTTTGTCTCCTGCAGATTGAGTCGGTACAAGCCAGAAATCAAACAACGTTCCTTCTACCAAAGGGTTTGTGAAAGGTGTGCTCAGCTGCAGGAGCTGAGGTGAGTTGCCAGGCATTGCAAAGGATTTTTTTGGGAGGGGAGCAGCTTGTCCTAGTGATGCAGGGGAGAGGCCAGTGCAAATTCCCAGTCCCTGCTCTCTGGGTTCCCTACTTAGAGTGTTTGAATGGAAAACAGAAAAGACCCATAGACCTGGTGGCTTCCTGGTGAATCCTTTGAGTTCATCTAAATCCCCTTGTGCCCAGATAACCTACCCTTTCTTACCATGGCTGGGAGCTTCCCTGGGACCTTGCCAAGCATCAGTGTGCCACTTCCCCACTGTCCCAGCACTGCTGTGCTTTAGCTGTGGGCTCAGCACAGACCTTTGGTCACCAGTGGATGGCACAGCCCAGACCTGCTGTTCTGTCCTTGCAGATGGTCTGATGTGGAACTCCATGAGGACGAAGCAGAAATGCTAGTCAGGATTTTGCTACCTCTTCCAGAGCTGAAGAGGTTTGGGTACGTCCTCAGCTGTGGTGTTTTCCACATATTTGTTATTTGCTCAGCCCTGTGCCTCACACTAATCTGCTCTGAACACTCCTTGCCTGGAATGTGGTCCTGAGCTTCTTTGATCCTTGCTGTTTTGCAGGCTGACCTCCAGCAGTGTTGTGACAACTGGAACTGATTATGTGATCATGGGCTTGCAGAACTGCCAGGCCATTGAAGAGCTCAAGTGAGTGTGTTATTACCAGTCTGTCCAGAGTCTGATGGGTCTTTCTAGAAGCTTTAATTAAACAGCAGCTTCTCTTTCCCTGTACTGTGGACAGATGTACTTTTCCTGATGAGTGGAGGACTTCCAATAGGGAAGAAGCAACAATTCTTTTTCCTTGCAGTGATCAGTGAGTGAGACAGAGATCACTAGTCTGTGGCAGGGAACTCCAGCAGAGAAATCAAATGTTTTGGTAGCGTTTTTGCATGGATCTTGTCCCAGCTGGGAGACTGTTTTTCCCATGCAGTAATCCCAGAAATCCTGGAGGATGATCTGGAGGCCTTCACACAGAGGTGGGTTTTCCAGGCCCCTACATGTGGGGCATCCTTCTGTGGTGAAGTGCCACTGCACTGTGTGTCACTGCCACGAGAGCTTTGCCACCTTGTGGTCACAGTGGCACCTCGCTCCACAAGGGACTGGATTCTTACTCTAGAGCTTTGGGATTCTCCTGGTATTTTATCAGGATCCAGACATGTCCATTAGAATAGCATTAGAGAACAAAATAGAAAATTACTCACAGGGACTGGAATACACTCCCCCATCTCTCCCACCCGTGTCCTGCCCTGCTCTGCACCGACAGCCCAAGGGTAGTTATTTGTCCCTGTGTTATTTCATCCTTTAGCCTGGGCTGCATGAAACTCAGCAGTGCTGCCATTCCTCAGCTTGTGCAGGGACTCTGTGAGATGCCATCTCTGAAAAGGCTCATGTGAGTATGGGACTGCAGTTTTGCCTCTGGCCCAGCTTGGGAGGCTGAGTGACAGGGGCTGAACGTCCTTTTTTCCTGTGGGTGTTGTTTCCAGCTTGAACCACAACAGTATTGGGAATGATGGCTGCTCCAGACTCGCAGAAGCCTTGAGGAATATGCACCACATGGAGGAAATCAAGTAAGTTTCTCCTTTCTTGCAGAGAGGTGACCACTGGTGCCAACAGAGGGAGAGACCCCGAGGTGCTTACACATGGTGTGGAAACAAAAGCAAGGGAGGTTGCAAAATACTTATGTATGAGGCACCTTGGACTAGAGGAAAGCAGAACTTCCGATGTTCAGAAGAGGAGGTTTTGTTCTTATCCCACTCTGCTGCAGTCACAGAGAAAATGGATTAAACAGCCTCTGGATTTAAATCTTTCCTGGGATCCAGAACAGGGCCCCTTCTCTCCTGGGAGAGCCTCAGACCCAGCACTTGCCCAGTCTGAAAAGATCTCAGTGTGGAGCCAACCCCAGGCTTCCTCTGTTTTTCCCCTCTCTCTCTTGCCAGATGCTGTCCATTCTCCACTCCAGCAGTTTGGAAAATAACAGCAAGTAATTTCACACCCATCAACAGGATCCAGTAATTTTGATGATTCTTTGCAAATTTTTTAATACCAAATTAACACCTATTATTCTTTCATGAGACAGTCAAGACAAACAGCTCTTTGATTCTGCTGCCCAGGTCTGAGGTGTCATCCAGCAGATGGGAGGCATTAATTAAGATCTCATACTTGGCCTGGTGCTTTGTGCTTTTCTTTACAACACAGCCTCTCTTCTTTAAAGTTTAAGCCACAACAAGATTGGAGATCCAGGCCTGACAAATCTGGCTGCTGTCCTGCTGGAAATGCAAAACCTGAAGAAGATCGAGTGAGTCCCTTTGTTTCGTTCCAGCTGTTTTGGTCATGGCTATGGTTGGTGAGAAAACCTGTATGGGAATTCCTGTGCTATCTGCTCCTAGACAGTGTTCCACTTTCTGGCTCAGTTATGTCCTGGAAAGTAAATCTGAGGGGAATTGTACAAGTCTCTTATCCAGGCAGCACCTTTCCTTGGGCTGTGTAGGGTTCCCAGTGTGGGGGCCCCAGGGTTGCCACACTGCTTTGAGTTACTAGTGGAAGCAGAGGTGATATTGAGGATTTGCCAAAGCCAGGACACAGTCTGCAGACAAGGATTTAAACTGCCCCTTCCCAGGGGAGCAGAAATTAGAGCACCCAGGCTCTTTGTTAGGCTCGTCTCTGGGTTATGCCTTGTAAGGTTTTGAAATTAAAAACCTGGAAACAAGAAGGAGAAATTCCCATTTCTGTCTGGGAGAGGGAAAAGTGCTCCTTCCTCTCAGTACCTGCAGGGCCAGGAGTTACTCATCACTTGACAAAAGCACTGAAATCCCCAGACCATCTTCCCAGTGAGCTGTGTAGCCCATTATTGCAGTGACCCAAGTCTCCCATCACACCAGGCAGAGAGTGAAACATTCTAAGCTGGTACATTCTGGTTCTCATTTAGTCACTGAGAATCTCATGCTTATTTTAGCCTTTCAGGGAACTGTCCTAGTCCTGCTGGAGGGGAAAAGCTGATGGAAGCTCTTGCCCATTGCAAGCACATCGAGGAGTTACTGTAAGTGTGTCATTTCCAGTGTCCCTTCAGGAAGGTGGGCAAAAATCAAGGCACAGAAACCAAATCTGATGTGGCTCCAGGAAAGCCAGGATCAGTTTTACCTCTGATTCTTATGAGAGCAGGGTAAAAACTCTCCTCTGCACAGGAAAGGAATGGGTGGTGCTGGGTGTGGGAGCTCTGGGGATTGGCTGTTCACTGGATTCTCTCAGAGATTTCCAAGAACTCTACAGTCAGCATTAGTGGGGAAGAGATGAATCTGTGGTTTTATGGGCAATGTCACAGGCACAGGGGCTGTGCAGTGCCTGTGTTGCCCAAGGAATCAGCATTAATCTGTGTGGCTGCAAAACTGGAGGGAGGAGGACAGAAAGAGGCTTTACAGAGCCAGATGTACTGGTATTCCATTCCAGACCAGTTTATAGAGCATACATGTCCTGCCCTATTAAATAAATAAAATTTAAAAAATAGCAAATCAGAAAAAGTTACGTTTAAAACACTGGAACTGCCCCTGTAACCTTCAGATTACAGTGTGGGGACTAAGGGCACATATGAAAAAGTGCTATTTCAGTTCAACTCCAGCTCAGCTCGGTCAGAGAGGGACATCAGTGTGCTCCTGAAAAGTGCAAGTCACTTTTACCTCCCTGTTTGACTTCTGCAGGATCACAAAACCTCATTGTTCCTTCCTGCCACCCTCAGTGCCCTTTGAATCATGGGCATCCACTCCTTTCAGCACAGTCCCATGCACATGTGGGTGAGGAATGGGGGTCACACATCTGTGTGGGTGACACACGGGTGAGGAATGAGGCTCTGTGCTCCACTGCCACTAACATTTCATTTCTGCTTCTTCCAGACTGTCAAGGAATGGTTTTGGGGACAGGACAGCAGTAACACTCGCCCTCTGTCTGCCTCACATGACCAACCTGAAGATCCTGCAGTAAGTGTCAGCCTCTGCCCCAGGAAGGCTGGATATCCTGGGGAATATGGGGTGTTGTTGAAAGAAGGAATGGGAAAAGGTATAGGCTGTGGTGGTGCCCTGGTCTCTTGTTTAGAGAGTAATTTAAGTGTCCCAGGATTGAGAAATCCTCCACTGTACTCTGTTGTAAGAGTCACATAAATTATTCTTGCTTAATCTCTTGCAGCATCAGCTTCAGAGATGAACCAGGTAGTGGATATACAGTAAAATAAGCCTCAAAATTGTTTTTGAGTATCTTAGTTTCTGATGCCTCTGGCTGTCCTCTTGTTCTGGTGGAACCTAAGCCTTTGTGTTTGCAGTGACTGCCCCACTGTTGCCTCCCTGTTTTCCAAGCCCCTTCTTTAATCCACAAGGACCCCAGGTTGTCACTGACACCGGGCACTGGTTCAGCAGATTAGCAGTTTTCTTCTTGGCAAGTGAAATGCGAGCTTTTGTTACAGCTTTGTTCCAAAATAACCCTCCAATGCTTATGTTCCCTTTGTTAGCTTGCAGAACAGCAACATCAGGCAGGCAGGAGGGCTGGAGCTGGCCAGAGCCCTGGTGGGGTGTGAGCTGCTGGAAGAGATAAGGTGGGTCACGGCAGGTGCACTTGGGATGGTGCCAAACGTATCCTGGAATCACAGAGTGGTTTGGGGTGGAAGGGACCTTTTATAATCATCTAATTCCAACCCCCCTGCCATGGGCAAGGGACACCTTCCACTAGACCAGGTTGCTCCAAGCCCTGTCCAACCTGGTCTTGGATATTTCCAGGGATGGGGCAGCCACAGCTTCTCTGGGCAACCTGTGCCAGGGCCTCCCCACCCTCACAGGGAAGAATTTCTTCCTTGTATCTGATAACAATAACAAGTTCAATAACAAGTTGAACTGGGGTGTTGGTAGTTGGGTGTGAGAGATGTCAGTGTAGGGGTGAGATTGCCATGGATTGTGTTTGCTGGTAGATGAGAGCAGGGCAGCACAGCCTGGTGAAGGCTGGGAGGCAGTTACTGCTCTTCCTGAGTTTTGAGAGCCATGTCTTCTTCCCACTCTCCCTTACCATTATTTCTTCTCAAGTCACACCAGTCTTTAACTCCAGCATAGCTTTCTATTTCCAGTTTCACACACAACACACGATGTGCTGCAGGTCTGTCCTTCTTAGCCCCTGATCTGCAAGCAGTTCACTGCTGCATGGACTGAGGTTGTGAGTTACAGCAGGGCTGTCGTTTCTATTTTACCAGGCAGTGATTTGACTTAGAATTGCTGTGTGTACTGATGTGGCTCATCCCTGCTGTCTACAGAGTCCTCACTTAGTCTGGGTTCTAGTTGTTGACTTGTTAGTTCACATATTTACATTTTCGTGGTGGGTTTTCTCTGTACTGTACCTGCTTTTTTTCTGCTTCCATTCAAAGCTTTTCCATTACTCTTACAGTTTATCAGAAAATGACCTTGGAGAACAAAGTATCCATGCCCTGTCCAAGGGGCTGCCATGCTTGGGACACCTCCGGAAGGTTGAGTGAGTACCAGGGCGCGGAGGGCAGAGTGTGGCTGATGTGAGTGTGGCTGATGTTTGCAGCACTGCCAGGGCAGGAGCACAGAAAGATGGTGCTGGTGCCCTATTGCCCGTGGGCTCTGACAGCAGCACCCTGTGCCCTCTGTCTTTTCTCTCAGCTTGAAGTTCTGTGGAATCACTGATGATGCTTCAAAATCCCTCTCTCACGGCTTCCGACTGTGCCCTTCCGTGGAGGAGATAATGTGAGTGATTATCCCGTGATGGATGGGGAGACCCTTCAACACACAGGTCACTCTTGTGTTAATGCCAGCTCCAATTTGCAACTGCAGTGCACTTCTGATCCCGCTAAATACTTGCTGGTACTTTCCACTAAGTTCTTTTCAGTGGTAAATTTACTAGTAATTTACCAATTGAGGAAATACAATGCTAACAAATTTTTTGGTATAACTGGCGAGTTATTGGAAGCTGAATGTGAGGAACTGAACAGAATATGGAGGAAAACACTCATGTTCAGACTCTGCCCATCGTCATGAGTCTTTCAGCATCTGCTTTGCCAGGCAGGACAAATTCCCCATCTTTGTGGTCCAGTTCTTGCCTCTGTTTTTGTGAGTTCTGCCACTGGGAAATCTGAGTGACATGGATAATATGCCAGTGCCCATGAAATCCCAGAACAATCTGTGAACTTGTTTGGTGGAAGGCCCCCAAATTTGGAGCTGGATCCTGTCCTGCCTTTCTGGTTTTTTGGCTCCTATGTGCCAAAGGAAATTCTACATTTCCATAAGGAAATTCTGGAGTTCCCCAGGCTTGGGTAGGGGTTTGGCTCTGTGGGGAGGCCCCAGGTGGTGAGTGAAGCACTGGCTGGTGCTGGACAAAACTGCTAGTTTATAGTTTTCAGGAGAGAGGGAAATGGCCAGGCTGCTTATCAAGTAGCAAAGAAAGGATCTAAAGAACTTCCTCACTTGTTAATACATCAAAAAGTTAAAAACCTAATCCTTCAAGAGCCCTCTGATCCATCCTTTGAAAAGAGCTCAGAATCAACAGGCAGCTGCAAGAGCAGGTCAGGGAGGCATTTTAGCTGCTGCAGTAGTTTACATCACAGGAGGAGTGACCCTGTGTGCTCAGCAGTCACTTCCATATCTCATTCCCTGGGCCTGCAGGACTCTGAGATAACCACAGCCCACAGGCTCTGTGGTGACACTCCCTGGTGTCTTATCACACGTGGAAACATGTGGCCAAATGGAGAAAACTTCTGAAAATTAAGCTTATAATCCAGGGGAATGTTTACCTGGCGTGATAAGATGGAGATTAGCTCTGGTAAACAGGCTAATCTACGAGGGGCTCGTATCACAGTAGTGGTACTAGTGGTAGGCAGTATCTGCTTGTGTTTATCCACTGACTCATGGCTGGGATTTCTCATCTGCCTTAGATTGTCTTGGAATGCCCTTGGAGATGGAGGAGCCCAAGAGCTGGCCAGTGCTCTCCCAGAGATGGAAAAGCTGAAGGTGTTAGAGTGAGTACAGCCCTGAGAGCAGCCCGGGGAACGCTTGTTTTTCTGCCACTGAGCCTTCAATCACAGCAGACAGACAGGCTGCTGCAGTTTAGCTTCCTGCTGAGCCTGCTCCATGCTCCAAGGGCCAGCCTTGCCTGGGTGATGCTCCTGAAGCAGCACTGGTGTTGTTTAAGGTGGTTGGGGTTTCTAAGCAGAAGCTGAGGTGTGAAGGTTTGAGATGTGAGAGACAAACTGGTATTTCTCGAACATGACTCACGTCATCTAATGACCTCAGGTGAGCTGCTCCCTGCGAGCTTTTTTCTCCTCTTCAGTGTCTGGGATGGTCCAGACAGGTGCTGTGCTCACAGAGCCTTCCTTTGTGGCTCTTTGGAACACGTGGTACACATCTTCCATCTCTCAGACATATGGAAATACCAGTCCGTGGGTCACAGGGTCGGGAAATGAGATGGGTTTGTCTGGCGAAGGGAAACCACACACGGGGCTGTTTCACAGGTGCAAGCAGGAAGGTTGTGGATGAGCCAGGAGAAGTTTACTGGCAATTTTGGCACCAAGTTCGCTGTGGGATCTGTTAGAGCGCTCCAAGGGTGAGAGATCTGCTGGCAGGTCCTGTTGCCAGAAGGAGATTGTGGGAAGCAGTGTGTGCACACCCCCCACCTTGAATAAACAGGGCCACGATGTTAAAGAGTTGTGTGGCATTGCTGTGCTTGTGCAGAAGGGTAACTGTGCAGCTCCTCTGGGACAGGAGAGGGAGCCAGGGATTACTCAGCTGCTTTCCACTACTGACTTGGTTTGGATTTTGAAACTCTCGTTTGGTTTTTAAAACAGCCTGGAGAAAAATCGCATTGGAGCCTGTGGGGCCGCAAAGCTGGTGGAGGAACTTGCCAAGTGCCCGGAAATTCAGTCCATAAGGTGAGCAGGTACCCCAGAGTTCTGTGGTTGGTTACTGGCTCAGCAGGGAAGTCAGGGCAGATGTGTGACCCATGCCCTGGGTTATCTGGCATGGAATAATAGGATGTTGCAGGGCACACAGACACAGGCCAAGGAAGCTGAGGGTTTTCTAGGCCAGCTTCACTTCCTCAGAAAGGGCTTTTCAAAGCCTTGATCTCTCTCCCAACTAGATCAGTGAGTCCCCTTCAGTGGGCAGGCAGCTGCTGGGCTGCTGCTGTGCCACTGGGATATATCCATACCTCACTCCTGTCTCACCAGCAGAGGTGATCTGGGGGGAGCCCAGGGCTGCCCCTCCGCTGTTTTTGGCACGTCAGCTCCATGCTCCCTGTGCTTGGTCCTGCAGTAACGTTTGCTGTCCTTGCAGGCTGTGGGACAACCCGGTGCCCAAGAGCCTCGCTGAGGATCTGACAAGCCAAGAGCCAAGACTCTGTTTCTCCTTCAGCTAGCAAAGAAGAGCCCTTGCCTGACCAGGAGTGGCTCTACACCTCCCACTACCCTAAAAAAAAGTACACTGAAGAACCCAGGAGATCAAAGTTCCTGCAGCTGAAAACCGTAACTATTAGGTCTTCCTTTGTTGCACTGGACCAAGTGTGGACACTTTTGTTTGTTTGTTTTGTCTTTTTCGTTTTGGTTTGGTTTTTATTGAGGCTTTTTTGTATGTTTTGTTTCTTGTGAGCTTTCATTGTACAGAAGAGGCAAAGACTGTGAAGAATTGCTGCTGAGCAGGCAGTGTTCTTGGTGTGAAAACACTGAAACCCTCTTCAAGAGGATAACTTTCTGGAAAGCTATTAGCAAATGGTGATGAGAATGTTTGTGTGCTAGACACTACCTATTTATTTATTGCCCTAGAGAAAAAGGGACACCAGGCACCTCCATCCAAACTTCAGCCCTGTCAAAAGTTAAATATTTAGCCTTTATATTTAGGGAGGGGCACCCAGAAAGAAGAGAGGTCGTAATTAAGCTCCCATGTACAGTCAACAAAAAAGCAGGTATGAAGTTTCCTTGGAGATGTGGGATTTTGGAGTCACCATCCCTGGAAGTGTTCATAAAAACATGGGGATGTGGCACTTGGGGGCATAGTTTAATGGTGGATACAGTGGTGCTGGGTAAAGGGTTGGACTCGATGATCTTAGGAGGATTTTTCCAACCTCCATGATTGTGTGATTCCATGATTCTAGGACAAGGTGCAGCTCCTCAGGCTTTCAGAAAGACAGCAGAGTATTTCATTATCTTTAATCCAGACTGCAACACCTAGAGGGTGTTGCAATAAAAGCATACACATCCCCCAGGAGAGGATGTAAAGTTATTTATAAAATTGTAAATTATTGACACTGTTACAAATGCACTCCAACAGGCTGCCTGAAAATCACCTATCACTGTGAAATTCCTCTGTGATTTTTAGGCAAAAAATCATAGATTGATTTCAAGGGACCTTAAAGACCATCTAGTTCCAACCTCCCTGCCATGGGTAGTGGCACCTTCCACTAGACCAGGTTGCTCCAAGCCCCATCCAGCCTGGCCTTGGACATTTCCAGGGATGGGGCATCTGTGGTTTCCTTTGGGGAAAAAAAAAAAAAAAGTGGTTTTTTTTTTTTAAAAAGGAAATATTTGTTTTGGGGGTTGGGGCTTTTTTTGTTGTTTGGTTGGGTTTTGTTGATGTTGTTGTGGTGGTTTTGTTTTGGGGCTTTTTGTGGGGGTTTTTTTGTGTTTGTTTTTGTTTCTTGTTTTTTTTTCTTCATATCAGCCTCCTTTTCATACCGGATTTGCCTCAGTTTTGTAGCTGAAACTTCAGGACATTTGAAATTTCAAGTCACTGCCTGGAAAACGATCAATATTTATAGTGTGATAACAAAGAAAAGCTGATACCACCATAAATTTCAATAAGAGACTTTAAAGGACTGAAGGTTGTAAAAGAACTTGCAAGAAAAAACGGACTGCTCTGTGTGAGAGGAGTGTGCACTACTGACTGTTTTCATATGGCATTTTTTTAGACCTTTGTGGGGTTTTTGGAAGACTCCATTGCACTAATTAATCTCTTTCAGGAGATACAAGGGGTCAGTTAGCTTGAAACATTGTCCACGTGACGGATCCCTCGAGCCTCTAGAATCTCCCAGATCCCAAAGCCTTTGTGTTGCTGGGCACAGTGGGTGTTGGACCTGTGGGAACTGGAGGAGAAGATCCCCAAACAGCTGCCCTTGCATGCATGGAACACCAGCCTGTGTCACAGGAGAGCGGCCACATTGCTCTCATTATCTATTAACAAGAGTTATAATGTTTACCTTACGTGTTTGTGCTGTAAATATTTTAGTCTGCTGGTGGATTTATTGATGGAATTCTGTTTGCCTGGGGAGATGCAACCAATCTGATGTGGGCAGGGCAGGCACCTGGAACGAGATGGAAATGCTGGTCCAGCAAACCTTTGGGCAAAGGACAGGAACAGCTGGTGCTGGTTATTCCTGGAGGAATATTCTCTGTCCTTATTTAAAGATCAGCATTGCGCTCTGCGAGATGATGACGTGGTGGTGGAGAAGTGGGACATGTTTTGCAGAGGCTGTATCCTGAAAAGGGTTTAAAAACAGGAACAAAGGAAAAAAGAGGTAGTGAAATTCCTCATCAGGTATAATTCCATTAGGTAATCAAGTACCTCAGATCTAAACACCAGCGTTTAGGAAAAGCTTCACCAAATGGGGATTTTATTTACGTCCTGTATTTTCAGTTCTGATTTGCAGATGTGAGTCTTCCCAGCAACCATCAGAGGATGAGAGTGTGATCTACAAGGTAGACACTTCACAGTTTAGCTCATCACAGTTCTCAAGGTGAGTGTGTTTGCCAGCCAGACCCTGAAAGAGTTCCTGCCAGGACTTCTTCTGGAAATACAGGAGGTTGGATGGAGAAGAGAAGGCTCCAGGGAGACCTTAGAACCCCTTCCTGTGCCTAAAGGAGCTCTGAAAAGGCTGGAGAAGGACTTTGGACAAGGGCCTGGAGTGACAGGACAAGGGGGAATGGCTTCAAACTGACAGAGGGCAGGGTTAGATCAGATATGAGGAAGAAATGTTTCCATTTGAGGGTGGGGAGGCCCTGGCACAGGTTGCCCAGAGAAGCTGTGACTGTCCCAGCCCAGGAAATGCTCCAGGCCAGGTTGGACAGGGCTTGGAGCCACTGGGTCTAGTGGAAGGTGGAAACCATTGTATGATGAATGAGAGCTGAGATTCCCCTCTGCAGTTCCTTCTCCTGATTCCTGAAGTTAGGAAGTGTACACTTGTACTGTGAGGTTTGCTGCAAACACTGCTCTTGACCTCAGATGTTAAAGAGTGCTTTAGGAATTTACCTGCACACCTGCATTTCTCAGCCTCTTCCCAGAATTCAGGGCTACCTCCCAGCCACACATTGGTCTGACCTGAGAGACAGCCCATCCCGACAGAAACCAGGGAGAAGGGACTTGCAGGAACTCCCAGCATCTTTGCCACAACACCAGGTGTCAGCAAAACCCCAGAAACGGGGAGTTGTTGTCTGTAATCCAGCGGTTCTGGATCAAGATGGGCTCTGTGCCGTGCTTTGTGTGCGTGGGTTGCATTTTTCAAAAAACGAGATTTGAATCGAGTTGTCCGTGAACCGCAGCAAGGTGATCGGTCAGGGGCTTCCTTTCTCACCCAGGATTTTGGGGGTGTGCATCCCGTTTCCACTGCGCTGCTGATGCCCATATTGCAGCCCGTGCTCGTGCCTGAAAGTTTCCAAGGGGAACCTGGGGGGGCTTTGTCCAATTTTGAGGAGTTAAATGAACCCTCTGGCACGCAGGAAGACGTGGGGGCCATCAGGGATTGTGGGTGGTGGCCGAGCACCAAACCGATTCCCAACCCAGCTAATTACCGTGGGCCATTTTTAGAGCTGTTACTATTGGGCTTCAGATTTATCACGGTCCAAAAATGGAAATGCATCAGGACACTCCGCACACCCCTATTGTTTCAGGCTGCCTGCAGTCTCCGGAAGACAATGCCTGAGCTAGTCAGTACTGGTTTCTCACACAGAAGGGATTTTGCCCCCTGAGACCAGATCTTTAGAAAGAAATACTCTGCTGTAAATAAACACGCTGCTGGAGGGCGGGAGGGAGCCCGGGTTTTGTGCTGGGGAGCAGCTGGAGCCGGGCTGGGATGGGCTCCCGCACACGATGGCGGCTGCTCCCAAGAGCTGGAAATGCAGCTGCTGTTGCCCCTCTGCTTAAAACCGGTTGCAGGTAGTCCTGAACCTGCTATGACTTGGAGGCATCGTGCTGGGCAGGGGAGGAAACGCAGGAGAAACTGATTTGGGACGAAACAGGAACTGTGGTATTTGTGAAATACTGTCTGACTCTCCCTTTTCCCCCAAAAGGGACATTTTAAGCCACAGGCAAGGAGGTCGGAGGGCAGGTCTGGCACAGACCCCACTTCCACTGAATCCCTCCTTCAGGCACAACCTTGTCCCTTCCTGTGGCGGTTTCTGGCTGGGTTTACACAGAAAGAAGGGGGCTCCTAAAAATTAGGCTCAGCTTTTTAGCTGGACGTGTCCTGTGCTGGGCAGGAGAACTGGTGAGCCCTGAGCCCATCCCGTGTCTGCTGCCCCACTCCTGGCATGCCAGGAAGGGGCTGGGGCTGGCACAGGGTGCACCTTGTCCATGCTCAAAACCGACCCTGTGCTTTGAAACTCCTCAGCCTTTCACAGCTCAAGCTGAAGGAGGGGAAAGTATTGCAGCTGGCTGGGGGAATTGGGGACTTGCTTATTTGCCCACGATCTTCTGAAGAGCCCGTGGTAAAGGGCTCTGAACAAATCCAGACAGTTTGTTTGATCAGCAGCCTCACAGGGAGGCTTCCAGCCTTATTACCCTATCTCCAGATCAAAAATATCTATATAAATATCCTGGATGCCTGATGATGTGTCTGCCAGGTGCTGGGTGAGGTTGCTGATGGCACGCTGGGGTCAAAGCCCGGCGGTCCCTGCCTTGAAGGCTCCTTGGGGCGAGCAGGGTGAGGGATCAGCGTGACACGGGCCAGCACTGTGTCTTGGGTTCCCCTTCACTTCTGGGGTGTGCATTCAGGGCCTGCTTGTTTTCCTCCTTTAGCCAGTTTTTCCACGTGGGAAGTGGCAACAGTGGGACACGGGGTCCTGCCCTGAACCCCGACACGATTTTGGCAGTGGGAGCACCCACGTTAGCTGGGCAGGGAGAACCCCTCTAGCACCCAAACAGCACCAAACGCCGTGGTTTTGCTTAAACAAAATGGGTGTCGATCCAAAAAAGTTATGTTTTCCTTGGAGCTGCGTGGATAACGCAGAAAATTATTTTCTAGGCATTTTTTAGCCTTTCTAAGCTGCCTTTTTTTTTTTTTTTTTTTTTTTTAATTGCAAGCAGAGAAGCGAAAGCAACCAGCGGGGAAGTTTTTGGGGTGGATCCTTTTCTGTTTTTTTTTAATCGGAAACGGATGATGCTCGTTCGAGGGGTGGAGGGGGGTGACAGCGAGGGGGGAGCCCCAGCACGGCCGCGCCCGCCGCCCGCCCCCTCGCCATCACCGTACGGGGCGGGTGGGCGGTGATGGCGAGGGGCGGGCGGCGGGCGCGGCCGTGGGGAGGTTCTGAGCCCGCAGCCCCGCGGGAGCTGCTCGGCCCGGCCCGGCCCGGCGGTGAGTACCGGCAGCCCCCGAGGATGCCGCGGGGATAACGGAGCGGGGCTGTTGGGCGCGACCGTCCCCCGTGGGTCGGGTGGGTGGTGAGAGCGGTGGGGGATGCGCCGGTGGTGATACGGGATAGTCCGGTGGGAGGGTTGCGCTGGCCGGGACAGCGTAACACCGGTGCCAGCCACCGGATGGGGACCCGCAGGGCAGTGGTCCCCACTGGCTTGTCCCGGGGTGTGTGGTGGCACTTCTGTCCTCTGTCCGCTGGGAAAAAACCCTCTGTTCCCTTGGAAAGACCCTCCATCCCTGGGACAGACCTTCCATCCCTTGACTGTTCCTCAGGGCAGTCCCCCCGTTGCTTTTCGCTCCCCTTCCCCAGCACAGGTCCCTTTGTTCTTGCATGGTGTGGAAGTTGTCCCATTCCCACTCTCCGTGGATCTGCATCATCTTCTAAAGATGTCAACTGGACACATGACCCCAGGCAAACGCCAGGGCCTGGTGGCTTCACTCCCCAAGCCTGGGGATAGTTGTAGGGCTTTTTCCTGGCAGCAGCCACAAGCCCCTCTCCTTATCCTCCAGCATGGAGACCCGGAGGGGATCTGGCGAGCTGGAGGCTGGGGAAGTGCAGAAACGCTTCTCTGGGAGCTGTTTGCAGCCTGATGCTGCTCCAGCTGGTGATGATATCCTTCATGCCATGCATTTGGTGGGGGGCAGGAGGGGGTTTATGCTCAGGGAGGTGCTCCTCCTCGCTCCTCTGTGCCCAGCAAGACACCTCGTTCCCTGAGAAAGGCAAGCGGAGCGTTTCGCTTGGCAGCACGAGGGTGCTCGGAGGATGGCAGGCAGGGAGGGAGGGAGGTGTTTTCCTGTCAGCTCTGCCAGCCTGAAGACCTGATGCAATAAGTGTCTGTGTGAGTAACC